CGTGATGACAGCTGATTGCTTTTCAGAGTAATTCACGGATTCTGGACGAACGGGGACTTTCGGTTCGGCGTTCTCGGTGTCTTCCGATCTGACGCGAACGCGCGTTGTGTTTCTCGAGTTCACGGAGCATTACGTTGTCCCGTTGAATGAGGCAGAAAAGCACCACAAAGAGCTCGGAACACGGTGTAGAAGAGATGCTCTGATTGATAGCTTCTCTTCGGGATTGTCGAAGACACGGGACATAGGAAAGAATCAGGTAATTTGTAACACAATAATCTGGTGGAGTCCGGTCGGAGAGCTCCACTCCGCTCGGAAGTGACTCATCTGCCCATCAGTCGAGGCACGAGCAGCAGCGAAGAGTGTGGCTGGTGTCGCTCACCATCCTGAAAAGCGAATTCATTCATCGGCAGTCTCTCATTCGGTAAGCGTCGATTGCCAGGTTCAGGGGAGAGCATCTCGATTTTCGAGAGGAAGCTGATTCCACGGAGACACCTGTCAGGAGAACTACTCAAAAACGTTGACGACATCCTGGCGATTGATATTGACCGGTGCTGAAGGAGCATCCCGAAAGTGAATTCGCTTAGATGTGGTCGTCATGCGTCGGCGGGGAAAGATTAGAGCGTCGAATACTGCCGACCAGACTCAAGCCTATGCAAGTCTGTCAGTTTGTCTGTCTGTCGGTCGATCGGTCGATCGATCGATCGCAGGCTCTGTTTGTTGGTCTCTCCCTCTCTGTCGATCGCGGAGCTCACTCTCGTCTTCTATTTAATTGATTACCAGCTAGAGTCGCTCGACCCCACTCTCTCCCTCCACCTCCCCATTTTCTACCTCCGTATGTGCCTACAACCATCCATCTCACCCCTAACTCGATCCGGTCGTTCCCCGGGCGGCAAGTGAATGAATTGTCACCAAATCAAAACAACATATGTTTGATTCCGTACCTTCTCTCTCTCTGTATCCATATCTGGGTCGCTCGGCAATCCAGACTCGCGTGGATAGTTTATGTTTCAGGTCCGAGCCCCGAAACCTCGCTCACTTTCATTTTCTCGAGGGATCCTAATTGTGCTCTGTTGGCTTTGACCTAACTACAAGTGACATCAATCGCTGTCGATCTGAACGAAACCTCTTTGCCCCTGCTCGGCTGGAGTCGTTCTGACCGAGCTTTGATCATGACGTCGAAAATCCTCGCGACACTGAGGCTAAGCGAGAGTCGCGATGGTCGTGAGTGCGCCATCCCATTCGTGGCACGTGGCAGCGAGGCTCGCATTCACGGCGGAGGTTCCTCGTGAGGTTCGTGTGTGAGTCTCGATCCCGCCGCGCCTGTCGGACGATTGCGCAAAACGACCCTGACTCTTCCGCGACCGTTCCTCCGTTGAAAGATCCATGCACAGAAGTCGATGTCTCGAAGGAGTGGTGGCGCGGCGGTGGGATCAGGATTCCTATTGCGAGATCTCAGACTATTAGCGTGGCTACCGGGGTGGGGCTACAGGGGGGGGGGGGCGAGTAGACCCCCGCCAAGTCCCCTCTACAAAAGTGTTCGGTCCCATTTCTGGAGCATAGGCCGCGAGTCGGCGCGTCATCATTTTCAGCTCAGGCCTTCCTCACCTGCGCCGCAAAACTGACTCGCCCCCTTGGTCTTCGGGCCGAAACGGTTCCCGAGTTCCATCCCTTAAACATTATGAGCAAGCCAGTCGAATGTTCATGTGAGAGATATAGTCGCAAATGAGATTGTCCACCCCTCTCGGAGCAGCTCAATGATCGGGTCGATAATCCGCAGCATGCTCCGAGGGGCATCCCGAAGCAGGGGACTGCGGAATTATCGAGGTCCCCCAGATCGATTGCTCCGCGAGGAGCGTACAAGTACTGAAAGGCTCCGTACCAGCAACGGTAGCGAGCAGCCGACTGGTTGAACTCTCCGAGGCTCGAACTTGTTTTTTCCCCGTCTCCGTGGCTTCCTGTACCCTTATTTCAGGAACCCCATCCCCCAGCTCGAGGAGCCGTCGCTTTCACCGCTCTGCTTGTTTTTGTCTTGCCCTTGATCGAACGCTGTGATCGCTCGACATAAAGTAAATATTCATCAGGCTCAAGTTCCTTATATCAACCGCTCGCCTGATCGGTTTTGCAGCGAGACACGTGACCCTGATGGTATCTCCAGCGGAGGGAGGGCACGGTACCTATTCTCAGCTGGCGGACTGACTACCTGGGTCGCCCGTTCGCTGACGAGCCATTGTTGGGAACGCGGTCAAGTCGCCGGTCTATGATACGATCGGATGGAATGATGAACAAACAAATACGTAAGAGTTCGAGAAATGATACGTCATTCAGACATCGCTCCTCGCGTCGGTCAATTTGCTTTCCACGTCGCATCCACCTATCCATGCATACTTTTAGCAGAGCTTTCACATTCCAATTATTCGCCGACCGAGTCTCCTGATTCAGTCAAGGGAGGCAGGCGGAACCGCTGCCTCCTGGACAGCCGGTGAGGCTATTTTCGAAGTGAGGCTCGGTCCAGTCAGCAGCCTGGTGGCAATCAGTCGACGAGCTCAGCTCTTCTCCTTTCTCGAGAGCGACAGCGTGATAACTTCTTTCATGTCGTTACTCCGTCGTTCGAATTAAATTCAATGTATACCTTTCTTTCCGGCTCTCGACTCGACTCCAGTTCCCCGTCTGGAGTTTTTGTGCTCTTCTTCATCGTACTCGTTCGAGTGCCCGGCGGCACGGTCAGCCTCAGCTAATTTTGTTCCTCATAGCAATTTGCATATTTCATTCCGGAGTGTTCCGTTGCTGCTATCCACCCGTCGGGGCTTCGCGGTCGTTCACGTAAGCCGACCGCAGCGGGTACTGTAGCGACAAACCGAGATAGAGGGTAAATAGGTAGATCGAGAGAATGAGAGAGAGGGGGGAAAAAGAGGCGGAATAGCCGTGCCCGAGACTGGTGTTGAATACTAAGGTAATGTCATCGTCACCACGAGCGTCATCACTCCCACCATAATCGCGTTTGGCAGGGCGACTGCCGAATCTGGCGGCATCGGATAGCGAAAGTTTTGTCAAATCAAATGATATTCCCGCTTTGTGAATGGGCCATCCACACTCGGACGGTGCTCGGATGATTAGTACACGAACGAGGACAGCATGAATCCATGGTATTCTTTCATCTCAATTCGCCATCACGGCTGAATGTCTAATGTCGGCTAATTCAAACCCTCTATTCCGAAGCCTAAAATGAGCTTTCAATCTCGAAATCAATGCACATCCGATTGAGCTTGACGGATCGGAAACTCTTTGCTCACGCGTTTCGAGAAACAGGGTAGAACGGGGGAAACCGGTTCCAATGATTCGAATGATTTCACAGCGAAATCCTTCCGATCAAGACTGCGCGACCGAGGATCTCCGGATTGACTCTTGATGGATAGCGAAATAACATTTTCGTCGGCGGCGATACTATAGAGTTCCTAAATTTCGGACATTTCATAAATATCCAATCCGCAAGAGCAAAGACCGACGATCACATCGACGAGGGAATCGCCTCTGATGAGTTTTCCCTGTCGCCGGACGATGTGGGAAAGACTAGAATAAGAATGCCGCAATCGAATCTATCCTTATTCAAGAGTCGGAAAATGAAAATGTCCGAATTTTAGGAACTCTACTGATCAATCGCAGTACGTGGAACTGATATACAATGACATCGTAGCGTCAAAAATACAGCAAGAGACTGCTCCCTACCCCCTCTTAAGAAGCAGCCTAGTAACGCTTTTCGATGACTACCCGAGTCTGTCATGAGCAGATCTGACTGTATCAGGTTCTTAGATGCGGCATCTCGATCAATTTCATTCGAGACAGCGATTCCGGAATTTGCTCTCAGCTGGTAGTCCGGCGGAAAATGTGAGGGTCGATGAAGGTTATCCCCCTCGGCTCGTCCACGAACTCGATACTCTCTCGTTTGGATTCGAATGCCGGGCGCATTTTCAAGTCGAGAAGAAAGCTCGGAATGTTTGCCCGTGACAGAGACTGACCAAAAAGTTCATAAAGTGCCGGAGCAGATTTATCTTGCCGGAGAGACGATTTGTGCGACTGAATTAGGAGCGAACACAGGCTCACTCTGTTTTCAGAATGCATCGGATGTGCGACGGTCTGGTAAGACGTCGACGAGGAACTTATCGGACGATTTGGAAGAGCGTCGCGAGAGGACGCCGTCCAGAGAAACATTGAGTGTGTCCGTCCTTCGAGGTATGGTAGGGAGACGGAATCTTATCAGCAGTACAATATCGAGTCGGGTGAGAGCTGTGATAAACCTTCCGGAATAGAGTTTGATTCAACGTGAAACGAGACTGGGGTGAGTAAGGGCGCGCAGTTCGAACATACATACATATATGCGACGTTCTTCCTTCACTTTTTGAAAATGCCTATGGGCGTTCCGAAGGCAAACCTCATCGGTCCGGGGAGGTGGCCACAATAGTTTCGGTCTAATGAGATTCGACGAGAAAAGAGGAGGCAGAGATCGATGCAAGGAACATTCACTCAAGCAACCGAGAAAAAAGAGATCGTGTAAAGGTTACCGCAGCTCGCTATCCTCCGGTCACAAAAGCTTTTTCGATGGCTGCTAGCACGGTCATTCCCGCTGTTCAGTAATATTCGAGCGAGGTGTCCGTTACGCTATGATCACGACATCTTTCTCGTGAGACGCCTCTCTCATTCGGAGTCGGAGCAGCGGGCCAAGCCACGCCTAATACTTATCGAAGTCGCGGTCGGATCGTTTACTTGGGCGCTCGATCGTTTGCTCGAAAACCAACACCTAGTCATGTTCATTCATTTTTCTCCGCTTCGAAAGCTTTTTCTCTCTCTCTCTCTGCGGTTGCAGGTTTCACGTGAATTGACGGATTCCCTCAGATATACCTTTTTCGATAAAATGAATCCAATTCGCGCACTCTCAAACCAATTCATCTGGACTCTCAATTATCCTAGCTTCAAATTTCAATGAATCCGAGTAGATGAAGTTATACCGGGAGCTTCAGCTCCACCATTCGCTCAGGCGGCGGAATCGAATGTCTGCAATTACTCCTGTGCTGGAGTGGTATGATTGGGTAACCGATCTTCGCCATAGCCAGCGCCAGTGGAGGAGCTTGTTATCGAATGCAGCGAAAACCCAGTTAGCTTCAGTGTCGGTCATAGCATCAATCTTTCGCGACTCCTGACTGACTCTCATCCTATCCTTATACGTAGTTGGCAGAGCGCGGATGATTTGCGCTAACAAGCCGCGTCCAGCAGAGCAAGCTCTCACCGAAGCGAAGTCTATTGTCGCTCTTATCGCCCGCGTCTTCTATTTGTGCTGTCGCTTTTGTGGAGGAGGGACAACGGTCGGAGTGGTCGCGCCTTCGCCACATTTCCCCGATAAAATAAGCGCTCCGATATGTATTACCTTGCTGTCGAAGCCCTTGTTTGTGGTGGGCGTGATCAGTGCCTGCGATGGACGATGCGAGGGACATGCGTGAGCCGAGCTTGCTCCGTCCCCGTCCGGTGGGATGCAGACGAAGTCGTCATCGGAAAGTTCGTCCGCCTCCCATCAAAACTGGAAATTGTGCGGGACAAAGAACACCATCTCTGATGGCCCCACTACGCTTCTTCCGAGCTCCGAACCTAGATCAAAATCGAACATATGCCCTCAGTCTCGCCAGTAACGCGACTTCATGCTGGAGAGAAGTCCCCTCTGCGAGTTGATTACGCAAACTTCAGATTCAAAATCGAACCCACGGCGAGCATTCCCCGAATTCATAGCCTAAGCTCGTATATCATTTTATCATCAAGGGCCATTGTACGAGAACAAACGCATACGAGAACTTCGAGAGCAACGAAAGGGAGTCCAATGTAATCTCATGTATATTTCTAACCCAACACTTCGCTTTATTATCATCGTCATCGAGGGTCCGGAAGTCAATCCATACAACATCTTTACATGTGCGCGTCTGAACATTGCGAGGGTATTCCCCTACATCTATCTAGATGGCTTCTTCTCAAAGGTACTCGGAATTAACGCATGGAGCTGGAATTTTCTTGTGATTTGCCGGTTCGAATAGCTCTTGAACAATTCATTGATCGTCATTCGTGATGGCCCCGGGTGGATCGGAGCCTTTCCTTACTTCTTCACATCCGTAATTATCAGCGAGGACCTTGAGACATCATCAACAAGCAGAGAACACGAAGAGTCTCCCGTTCTCCGTGTACCCTTGATCTTTGGATTCGCCGCGGCGTTCGTTCAGCTTTGGTGCTGCGCTGTAGACTGCGAACTATCCTGGCTGCCGACGCTCGTTCTTGTGGATAGTGTGCGTCGTCTTCCGGCGGGCGGCAGCTCTTGACGGAACTCATCGAATAAAGAATTCTTGCGGACCTGCGGAATGAAAACGTTTACTCGGAAGTCCCGAGAACAGCCACGTGACCGCCTTTCACCTCTCGTTCGGGAATACGGTGCATCGTGAACTCAGCAAAACCCATTTATACGAACCTCTAGTGCGCTTGGGCGATTGGTCGGATCCGCTGCCACCATCTGGCGGACGAGCTGGTATTCGATTGGGAAACTTTTCTTGAACGCCTACACAGAAGCAGTATCTCTAGTCAGGAAAGTCGTTCCACTGGATTGTGCAACAGCATGCTTTTTACTAGGGAGCCCGTGAAAGATACTCACTCTCGGGAAATGAAGTTGCTTAATAGCTGTCAAAGTGTTGACGCGTTCCATCTGGGTGGGTAGCGACCACAGCAATTCGAAGAATATTAGTCCTAGGGAGAAAATATCCACCTGCAAGCAGAAGGAAATGTCATTGATCCAAATCACTAGTCTCAATGACAACGGTATAACCTTCTCACTCTTCCGATAAGTACTGACCTTTTGGTTGTACTTGTTTCCAGTTATTTGTTCAGGACTCATGTAGAGCTGTGTACCGACTTTGTCGGTCAGCTGGAGGTCGTTAAAGTTCCCATCGAATGACATGAGGCTCTCATTCGCTTGAGCTGGTGTGAAACCGGGAGTTGGGTTGTTGTCAGTGCCCGTCACGAGTCCGAAGTCCCCCACCTGAAAATCATCAAACCGTGGAGCAAGGTTTCCGGCGAAATTCGACAAAAAATTCGATTGGCCACAGAAACGCCGTCTGGAGGCCGGAGAACACGAGATTATGTCGATGTGATGGCGCGTTTTGATTCATACAAATCTGTGCATATCTATAGCGTGATATCATATCGCTTGATTCTGTGTGTCATGACGTCGAAGAGCACCAACCTTGATAACATCGTCCGCGGTGGCGAAAAATATATTCGAGGGTTTCAAATCCCGATGGATGAGACCTTTGTCGTGGACGTACTCAACGGCCGAAGAAATTTGAAAGAAGATGTCGAGTATCTACGAAAATTTAAAGAATAGCTCTCAGCATCGAGGAGGTGAAACATTCTTCGACCTAATTCCGGTCATAGCTGAAAACCAATCGATGGGGACCAGGAAGTCATCTCACCTTGTCGTGCCCTCTGTGATCAAGAGTGGTTCGGTGTGAGAGCCACTCTTTCAGAGACTCTTTTCGACAGAGCTGCATCTGTATATAAAGGTAGACAGGCTGTGTTGACGGGGCTTCTTCAAGCTGCAAGCAAGACGGTCTTTTCGGCACGGCCTGGAAATCAGATGACACTCATCAAACATCAGGTGCGATTTCCCCCGGGTGCCAAGATCGGACACCGTGGGGGACTCAACCCACGTAGCGCGTAGAGGAGGCGTTGAGAACTCACCGGTTGTGTGGAGTTCCCATCGCCGGACTCCGACCCTCTTCTTCTCGGGAGTCTCCTTCGGACAGAGAGATCTCTGGGAGTTCTGGAACGGAGAAAGCCATTGAGACCTTTCTGGAACCATGTACGTCTGGAACGGACGAAATGAAGCGGGGAAATTCCTCATGTAGGGAAGATGATCACTTAGATGGGGAAACGGAATGTTATCCCGTGGCTAGATATTTCATGGATTCCGAGAGCCAGCAAGGGCAAGGACCCCAGAGAGAATCGACGAAGAAAGATAGAAACCTGAAGGAACTTCAAACTCTGGAGGCGCGAGCCTGACTAGGATTCCCCAGCCGGTAGAAGTCGAAGCTTCTTCGAGTTATCGGAAGCGGAGACGTATGTCAGCAAGAAACTCACCTCGAGTCAAACACAATTGAGTGATCACCGCTCGACGATTGGAAAACGATAGAATCTTCACATGTAGCCGGAGTACGACACAAATCGTATTCGCACCCTTCGCTGTCGTCAGGTTCCTCCTCTCGATCGCTGCTATACCAACTCCCGCTCAAGCTCCCGATGTCTTCCGTGACACACGAAATCTTGTTCGTCTCACGCTCGTCGAAGAGATCATCGAAAGGTTTCAATGGATTGACGCTCGCCGCTTTCAAGGGATTTGCCGTTTCCGCGATCGATTCCGTGGCCACCGTCGCGACTGCGGGAACCAACGAATCGGTCAGATCCTCATATATGCCTAACATATCATGCCATACTATGGGCTCAGTGTATGGGTTTAGTCTAGAGCGGGGATCTCCGATGGAATATTGCACTTGTTGAACTCCACTCACCAGTTCCAACGTCGTTCGAGAGTGCATTACTGGACGACAGAGGCAGCGTCGACTTCCAAGCATCGTCAACCGTTTCTTGCCATCCCGGAGGCGGCGTTTCTAGCCACGCGTTGTAATACCTGCGAGAGAAATTCGGACGGTGTTCGATCTTTCTGAGTCGGGCAGGGGCTGTCAAGATTCGGACAGGGTAGTGATCGAGTCACCCACCTGACGATATGAGGATGATCTAATTTCGCCAGGGCTTTCACTTCTCGTAGAACTTTTTCGCGAGCAGCTTGTTTGGAGGGCAATCGTATCCGTTTGATTGCATAGGAACAGTCATCGATTCGGTTTCGACTTTCGAAGACGATTCCGAATCCACCTTTCCCGAGGCAGCGTACCGGCTCGAAGTCAGTGGCAAACCTCGATACGTAGTTTCCTTGGTTGTGCGAATCCGGTGTGACCGCATCTGCTTTTTGTATCTGCGTCTCATCCGCGCCGCCAGTGAATGTCTTCAAAGGATAGATGCGCTTAGCTTTCGGTCGGGACCGGTCATTCTCTCGGAGGCTCACTAAAAGCGATGGCTCGTGCTCTCCTTATGGGCGTGGAGAATGATATGCTCACCTTCGATGAATTCGTCAAGGTCGTGGTACCGGTAGCATCAGATATTTGAGTAGTGCTCGGTGCTCTCGGTAGGAGCGCCGCCGGTAATTTTATTCCAAATCGCATGAGAAGCTTTGACAGGAACAAGTTGGTTGCAACAGAGACAACCACGCAAAGGACACAAATTTCCTTCCAATAATGCCTGGGGGAGGAGCAAAAAAACATTGGTTAGTCCTCGCTGTTGGGTTCGAGCTTCTGTCGGCCTTTTTTTCTCGATTGGCCGGTTGAGTCCATGCATGCGGGGAGCTGACCGTCGCGACGGTCGAGTTAGCTGAGTACGCGTCGTCTAAATCAAGTTCGGACTTGGACGATGACTGTTGCGCCGAGAACGGAGCCGGTGTCCGCAGAATCGTCGGATGAGGTCTTCTGCTGGCGCAGATCTCTAAATTACCACCGCCACACAGCTGTATCTGTCGCCTGCGCGGACAGTCCGGACTCAATCAGCATTTCGAGCTGCCGCATCCGGGATCACGCCTCGGAGACGTCCGGCAAGATCGCACTAGCTCGAGGCTCAAAGGAACGATGAATCTTGGGTCACTCGTATACGTGTTCGCAAGTCGTAAACGTCACAGGTGGGATCGGATCATTCACCCATTCCTCGTTTGATTTTTGGGATTCCCCGATGTATATGTCAAGGTCGCGGAGCCTGGTGCCTCAGGAACTCGTGGAGTGGTCCGGACATGAGCCGCGGGTGATTCGATTCCGAATCGTCCACGGAGCTCCAATCGGGAAGAGTAGGTAGGTTCGTAGGTGGGAAACGGGGCGACCACGCCGAGGACTTTTTCCTTTCGATAACGCCCGACGGAGACGCACGGGTTATCCGTCGCTGTTGAGCTCCGGAGTTCTAGCAAACGGAGTCAACGAGAGAGACTGGACTGATCGAGAGGAGTCTTTACGACACTCGTATACCTCTATGTACATCGCAGAATACGCGAGGTCGCTCCGTCGTCTCCGAACAACTATGATAGGTACCTAGCTCAATACATTCGAGATTATGTATGGTTTTAGGCCCTTAAGGAGGAGGGACGCCAGCGTCCCTCAGTTTTCCCAGGGAACCGGAGAAGCCCGGACGGTGGCACTCGGAATGTAGGTAGGAGGTGCAAGATCAACCGGCTATAAGGGACTCGTAGCTTCCGCTTCGATAGCCGTTCGACTAATTCTCGGTGAGGGCGGTCCCTCCTAGACCGCGAAGAGGGATTCTAGAGACTAAGAAGTGATTGAAGAAGAAATGAGCGACGTTGGTAGAAGCTCACCACATCGAGTAGACACCGTAGATGATATTGACCTCCTCGGAGTTTCCCTCCAGTTTCAGCTCGCCCCCTGAAATATTCTCGAGGGTTGACGAGTCAATGCCTTCGATCTTCTGCGAGGGAGCCGGGGAAGGCGGTAAAAGCTGAGGCGTACATCCATCATCGACTTCGTCCTTCAAAGGAAACCGAGTTGGCAACATTTAGCACCGGAGAGGACTCGAGAAAGCGGCATTCGGACGACAAGGTCTCCAATGGATCGCGGCGAGTCTTGACCGATGAGGCCTACCTGGACGAAGTAGATTCCCGTGTCGAACTCTTCATTGTCGCTCAACGTCTGTAACATCTGCGGGATGAGATCAGTGGAAGCGCCCTCCGATACGGGGGTGAGGGCGTTCTGAGACTTTTGACTCATCTGCGGAAAAGAGCGTGATAGTTTACGTCGTCGACGATTGAGATTAGCAAATGACATTGCTCTACGCACTGAGATCTTTCCCGCGGACGGCGTTTCTCCTACTCACGCTATGTTCCAACATGAGCCGAACGTATGTGTCGATTGACGGCGGACTCTCACCGCCTCCTTTCTGGTTCTGATGCATGTAAAGCTGCTGTTGGTAGACCCCGAGGTGGAGGAATGGTTTTGGTCCGTTCTCGTCCATGCCAATGATATTCGCCGGCTCGAAAAGATCGATCTGCATATGGAGGAAGCGAGACAGTGATGATGATGTGGTATGATTGAGACTTTGAACCACGATGACCCGAAATTAATAAAATTGAAAGAGGCATAACTTCCGACCTGCTGCAGACGAGAGTTCTCGAGCTTCCAAGCTCCAACGACGGGAGCGCTCAGTCGGATTTCCCAATTGATGTCATTGCTGTTCCGTTTAGAGCTCGTAACAAGACCTTTACTCGCAAGTATACGAACCTGGCAATCGAGAATGAATGGTCAGGAATTTCTTAAGTTTTGAATTACGCGAAATGGAAAAGAACACGCCCCAGCTCTGAAACCAACCGTTTCGCCTTTCCTCGAATGATGCGACTCTGCCGAAAAAAAAGAACACGGAGCTGCGTTAGCTAAGATAGACGCCTCGAGGAGACATTGCTCTCTTCAAATACTGCTCATGCTGTCTACCGACTCGTCACTACCAGCGAGGAGAAAAGTTGATCCTCGGGCTTATTCGGACAATTTCGATTCAGAATGAGACCTCACCATGGGATGCCTTGCGCCCGCAGGTGGAAGTCTCAGGCACGTATTGGACCTCGTTCTCCGCGACGGAGAAATGCCATCTCTCCGTGCCGGATCGCGGTTCGATTGCTCGTACGGTTTGACTGTGCCGTCTTATGACGACGACATCGTCGGCATCTCCGGGCGTCCCAACTTTCCCGTCACTGTCCGTCAAGTTCAAACATCCTCCGTCCGTGGAACAGATATATCTGGAAAACGGAGTGCATCCTCTCGAGATAAGAGTCTTCATTCGCCATGACGGAATTGCGAATTATTCGGAATTACGTCGAGCTTAGCATCGACGCCTTGGCTTCTTCCCTCTTTGAGAAAAAGCCTCCCACTCCGGAGACAGATTGAAATCATGCGCTGCTGGGGAAGGGCGCATAGCATTCTCCCAGCAGCTGACGGTAGCAATACATGTGAGCTCGGCCTACGATGTTGGACGCAAATATCACGTTTTGCGGATTCTCAGTTCGTCTTGGGACCTTCCTTAGCATCGATTTCTTCGATGCCCCCCCTAATCGACGTGTTATCATGTATTCTGATAATCGTATTACCATATTTGATTGGACGAGCATGACAGGAATCAGAGAGTGTAAGAAGCTCGCGGAGAACTCACCGAACCTGTCCCGTGCGCGGATCCAATCCGAAGGTTTTGATCTCTGTTCCTCCGGTGAGGACTGACTGGCCGGTCTTGAGACTATTCCTCAAAAGCAATTCTGCAGTCACAAACAGCTGTATGTTCTTGCCGTCGAAAACATAGAGAGATCCATCGAGTGAAGGAATGCACGTAGCTGTTTCGCCGCGACTGTTTTCCAGGAATAGGGTCTTCGGGGACGAGGAAAGGAGTGCGGGCCCTGACTCGAACTGCCAGATGATGCCACCCCCCAAGGAATCGACAGCGGTAACTTTTCCATCAAGCGTTGAGAGTAAAACCAGATCGGAGGCAACGTCGTGACTAACGGCAGAGTTCAGAACGACTGAACAGTCCGGCAGCTGAGGGTCATTGCTTCCGAACCCTGCCGACTGAATCGTCGAAGCCGGCATGACTAGAAGTAGCGCAGTGAGCAGGAAACAGCGCAACATTGAGCCAGCCCATGCAAAGATTTAGCGCAAGTTTCGAATACGCACTACAAACACACACGTTTTTTGCTACATAAGACAGTCAGTCAGCCTGCCTGCTTCCCCGTGCGCCCGAACATCCATCCATCAAGCACTTTAGAAGCTTGATAAAGGACACGGTGGTGTTCGGATCAATGGGATCTCTGTTAGGGTGTTCCGGAGCGAATCTCGTTGGTCCGTGGTTCGAGAGACCGCTAGAAGCTCAACAATATTCTACTCCGATGGATAGCACCGCGGACGACATCGAGTATCGTGGTCAAGACGTGCACAGAGAAACAACTTAATCCGCGCCTGAGCTCGACACAGAAGAGCACGCTCGAGGAAAAAAAGCGTACCCGTAAAACGTGTTCAGATCCGTGAATAAGATATTGAGACACGTCCCATTGAACAACACGACACACGGAGGAGCTCTTCGTTGGCCGCGGCGGCTGCAACAGCAGCAATAACATCAACAAACGGGGTGCTGCTGCTCTCATAGACAGACCACTGGTGGCGGTGGTGAGATGTGGTGACTGGGCCACTTTGCCTTATCCAAGATGGCGACTGTCGCTTTGAATCTCGTCCCTAGTCGAAGCAGACAATGGAGACGCGCGCGCTCGACTCGGACTTGGGGGGCATAGATTTTTGGCGCTCGGAATCCAGCCTGCTAAAAGACCGAGGATTCCGATCGAGACGAGCTCCAAGGTCTCAGGCACGAACTCGTAGAAGGGCGTGAGCTGGAAAAGTTCACGGCGGCCCGTGCATTGAGCCCCAGCTTGGCGAGTTCTTACGTGGGAGTGGGTGGGTACTCCTCACAGATGTCCACGATCCTGCAGTCGCGGGGACGAGCCTGAATATCAGAGGGGGGAACGGATGCTTTACGCTGAGACAAAGGGCCTCCCGAAGTCCTCTACACGCCCGTTTGGAATCTCGAAGCAGATCTTGAGCTCCGACATTGCTCTTCCGTTCGACTGACCCGGGACGACCCGAGGCTTCGCTCCGTGGCGCCATCGAAATATTTCGGCGGGCATTATTGGACTCGTCGAGCTCGTAAGAAACTCGGATATGAGTGACATCACGGCTGACTCATGGTTAAGGTCAAGACACGGTACTGGAATACTGTACGTCTCAAACGAATCATGCCGATCTCACCTGAGTTTCGGCGGAGCTCACGATACTGACAACGAGTCATTCATTTTCATCTGAATAGTTTTTTGTCGTCCGATCCTCGAGAAAATCTGTGAGCTGTGAGGCAACCGCGTGGTAGGAAGAGCTGCTCCCCACCCGACATCCATCTGCAAAAAGGTCTCTTCAATCCATGACGCCGTGTCCGAGTATAATTATCCGCCATGTAGTCAGGCCTTCCACCGGACTAGAGCGTTCCATCCGAGATTCGGAATGTACATACTTGACACCAAATCCGACAACGGGCGGGCTCTTTCCTGATTGCGAGCTAGAGTTCGGATTAATTTGATCTGCGCGCCCTATGACGAGGACCCCCGGTCCTTCAACCCGGGCGAGTGGGAGCAGGAGAATGTAGCGCTGAGACGTGGAAATTAAGGGCCCGAACCCTCACGAGTTCGGGGCAGAGATCATCGACATCATTGTATTCACTCCGCCGCGCCGTCAACAAAGGGTCCCATCGTCCCATCTTGCGGTGTTATACGTTATACGCCGCCGCGTTCTCCTTGTTCCCGGTCCTCCCCGAAAAAAAACACACCACAATTCGCGTATTCTATCGCTCATATTTACGAGCGTGGTGAACATTCGGCTCAGAATCCCCCTAGCCTGACAGCCGAGCTCTGGTCTGTGGACAGCGGGCATGACATATCCGACAGCTGATGAGTGCAACAAAACAGCCCCCATGTAGTCAGGCCTTCCACCGCCGCACTAGTGCGAGTGACTGTCAGCCACTGGGACGAAGCCGGCGCGTGGAGCTCGAACGATTTCGAGTGGTGACAATCATTCAGCGTCGGCGTAGAGCATTCGCGCTTTTCTGTAGACTGAACGATTCATCAAACGTCGTCCCTTGACCACGGTCAGGGAAAAATGAAGATACCATGTTGATTGTGAGTCGTCCATTGAGTTGTTCGATCAGCTTTTTGACATTTTAGAATTCTCTATGGTCGACAGCTCCCGTTGAATGAGGATTCCCTACTGATACGAACTGCAGAAAGACATTCTCGCTCCAAGGCGAGCCCGCTCATCGTCCAATCGCGTCTTGGACCATTTTATGAAACACTCCACTGAACCCCTCGTTATGAGCAGCTCCCCTCTTTTCTCTTAGAGGGACACTCAGAGTAGGGACCTGAATCCAGGGATCGTTCAGAGACCTGTCCGGCGGGAAGAAGAGCTTGCCACTGCCCCTGACTCTCAGGCCGCCGAGGCGCGAGTTTTCCCGAGCGCTGATGAACCCGGCGAACTGGTCTGCCAATGATAGAAGTGTCTCGTATCTGTTGTTTTCGGGTGGGTGGCCTAAGTGGCGCCTCGGCATAGTTCTTGAGTCGCAGACTAGACGGCGCTGTTACCCACATCAAAACACATTTGAGTGAGTGCGCGTTGTGGACTGCGCACACCAGAGCAGCAAGCCACCCATCCAGCCAGCCATCCTTTCAACCTCTCCGTCCGTCGGTCCGTCCGTCCGTCCTCCTGCCTGGCGCGCTAGGGCCACCCTGCCAGACAGAGGCCAGTCAGCGGCAGCCAGCCAGGAGCAGGCAGGCCGCCAGCCAGGAGTATCAGCAGCAGCAGCAGCAGAGTCAGCAGGAGAACCTCCACTGAGTCGCGCTGTTGACGGACCGACGGTTGATCAGTCGGTCATTGTTCGCTAGCTCGCTCGTCCGCCAGCCCGTCCGCCCGCTTCTCCTAGAATCACTCACAATTCTACGGTTATCATTTTGTTCCCTGCAGTGAACGTCATCGCCCGGGGCACAGCGAGTTCGAAACAGTTCCAACCAGAGGCTCGGTGAGGGCCAGAGCAACAGCAACAACAACGACATCGAATCGACGGCGACGACGACGACAATCGTGTCGGCTCTGATCGATAGCGACCCCCATCTTCATCTTCACTTGACGGCGACAATTTCGAGCGAGTCTCTCTATCACCGAGACCCCCACTTCCACGAGCTCCATCGCCGTAGTCGTTGTTGTTGTTGCTGTTGGTGTCGCCATCGCCCTCGTCATTTGGAGCAGCGACATCCAAAGCTCAAATGGAGCCCGGAGCCTGAGCTTTTCTGTGTTGTCCTCCGGCCAAACGCGCGGTTCCCGGTTCAAGTGCGTGGTGTACCTCTGTGCTGTGGTGCCTCCGGTCTGGTAGGCCTAGCGAGGGAAAATGGCGGATCTAGAAGCAGTTTTGGCCGATGTGTCCTATTTGATGGCCATGGAGAAAAGCAAGAATACACCGGCGGCCCGAGCGAGCAAGAAAATCATTCTCCCGGATCCAAGGTGAGTCGTACAAAAATCTCAGAATGTCCCGCTGCGCTACCCGCTCCATGAACGATGGCCGAAAGTATCGGTCCTATAATAGGACCATGCGACTCGAGCACCGATTGCGCGAACTTGCTACTCCTCGTTCGACTCGACCGGTTGCCGATAATACCGATATACTTCGAGGGAACTGAGGACTTCGGAATTTCGGTCGAAAGCTTGTCGAGTTCCTTAGCGCGACTAAAGCGAGCTAAGCCGAGGCACCTGCCAATCCCGATGATCCGGATTGCTTCCGAAGTTCGGAGGAGCAGTTGCGGCTCATTTGCAAGTACACTCTAGACTCTACTTCATGTTTATGGGAGAAGCTCAGAACCGTATGCCGGGGAGCGCTGAGTGAGGAGCGGGCGATTAATCCGCCGCGCTGCCTTCCGATATCAGAGACCTAATATGTACATTCGAGTCTGCCTCGATTCAAGGGAATTCCGGCTCAGAAATCTCGCTCATATCGCCCGAATATTCGATAAGTCTGCAAGAAATGCTTGGAATCGATGGTGCGAATTGCAGAGCTCTGGCTGAATCATCGCAGAGATCGAAGGACGGCTATCGCAGATCGACTGAAGTCACCTGTTGGGAAGGGACGAAACGATGAAGCCGAGTTCTGACGAGCTGATATAACACACCGAGCATAAAGATCTTTTCGAGCTCAGCGAATACTGACGCATCAATGACGGAATGAGAATAATCCATCGGCCCGAGTGAAGTGATTCCGTCTGTCGACGAGTAACCCTCCTTGTTCCGCTTGAGCCCAGACGCGAAGTCCTCTCCTCGAGGAGGTATTCTCCCTGAGACGCGATGGCAACTTATTGCGCCTGATTCTTGGAAGGCGCAAATTCATCAACATCCGCGCGGAATGCTCTGCGTAGCTCGTAAACCATCCGTCGAACCATGTGTCGGAGCTTTGTGTCGTTTCCTTAACTGACTCTGTTGACAGATCTCCTCGGTGCTTTGCCGCTGCTGCAGAGAAGGTAGAGTCAAGCGATCGACATGATGAAGAGCGAGCATTTTGGTCACGAGCTTTCGGAGCCGTGGTGGCAAATGAAGTCCTATGCCTATAAATGGAAATCCGACCTGCTGCAAATTACAAATCTCTTTCTCAATGAATCCACGCAGCATCTCGTGCTCAGTTTTCGCGACCCCAACGAGTTATCCTCGGCGAACTTCGCCGAGCGGAGAGATGAGCTCTTCCGAGGAGACACGTCCATACGTCTGTCCGCCCGCTCGTTCTAGAGAAGAACTGTCCGGAAATTATGCATTCTCAGCGAAGTCACACTGGATTTCGGTGGGGCGTCAATCCTTGCCCTCTACACCGTGGAATTTTCCTTCCCTTGAGCTTCGCGACTGATTCATCCTAGGCGGCGGTTGTTGAGGGCTCCTCGTTTCATTCTTTCTAGAGATATTTCCGGCCATAGAATTCATTGTTCCGTGCTAACGGTTTACCCAACGGCAGGGCTGGCTCACAAAAGACAGGTGCCACCAACCTTATGGAAATGTCTAACAAAGACCGGCCAGCCTTTTCTGGTCTGAATCTTCCGGCTGGAGCTTCGAGCGGGAGATCATCGATTTAAGAAGTGAAACTTATCTTTCGCAGTGTGCGGAGTGTGATGCACAAACATCTGCAACAGTCGGGCGAAGTCACTTTCGACAAAATATTCCCACAGCATCTTGGTTACCTACTGTTCAAAGACTTCTGCGAGAATGTCCACGACGAACAAGTAAGACAGCGATCATTCGATCGGAGGACTGAATGTCTTTCCAAAGAAAAATCTTCACAGGCCGTTGCCGAAAGTTCACAGCACGTAGGCGTATGAAGTGAGTAACACGATCAATTTCTCCTGTTTCCACCCTCAGGTCTCGCAGCTCACCTTCTACGAGGAGATCAAAAACTACGAAAAACTGGAAACAGACGAAGAGCGGAAGTCTTTCGCTCGGGAGATATATGACAACTATATTATGCGGGAATTGCTCTCGCATACTCATGTGAGTGCTCGTCGATAAAATGTTTTTTTCGCGCATTTGGAAGAGCGGATCAATACCGACGGCGTCTGCGAGTCTTTATCCATAACGACATATTCTGACAGTGACGAACTCCAATTCCAGACCTATTCGCTGGATTCCGTAGCACACGTCCAGAAGAATATTATGAGGAACGAAGTCCCAGTGAATCTTTTCCAGCCTTATATCGAGGAGATATTCAATTCTTTGCGCGGGGACCTTTTCCTTAAATTCATCGAAAGCGACAAATTTACCAGGTGAGTCCCCAATATATCGTCGACCGGAACCAAGCGAGGAATGCTTCAGACACGCGCTTCAGACGAGATGCTCAAGTTCTAATTCTCGCACCAGGTATTGCCAATGGAAGAATCTCGAGTTAAACCTCCAGCTCAACATGAACGACTTCTCAGTTCACCGGATCATCGGCCGAGGCGGTTTCGGCGAGGTACATTTCCTCCGTTTGGGGTCTGGGAGAGCGTATGTAAGTTCTCATGCATATCGTGTAATCGAGCAGCTAAACAGACTTCTGGATACGGTTTTACAGGTTTACGGATGTAGAAAAGCAGACACCGGCAAAATGTACGCCATGAAATGCTTGGACAAGAAACGTATCAAAATGAAACAAGGAGAAACGTTGGCTCTGAACGAACGCATTATGCTGTCCCTCGTTTCGACCGGAGAAGACTGTCCATTCATCGTTTGTATGACCTATGCTTTCCAGGTTGGTTCTCCTTCGGATTTGGAGCGAATTTTCGGATTAGTCCGACTCTTGTGAGGATGCGATCTCGCCGAATCAATTCATGGTCCTTCGAGCAGATCTCTAGTCCAGTTTCCTTCCACAGACTCCCGACAAACTGTGCTTCATCCTCGATCTGATGAACGGCGGCGACCTCCACTATCATCTCTCGCAACACGGAGTATTTACGGAAGGCGAGATGCGTTTTTACGCCGCCGAGGTTAGGACAAGTCTCTGCTCGATTAGTGACACGAACGAATCTAAATATACGACGACGGCTTGTCAATCGCCTCCGTCTTCAGGTGATACTCGGTCTCGAACACATGCATAAACGATTCGTTGTATATCGCGACCTGAAACCAGCGAATATTCTCTTGGATGAAAACGGTCATGTTCGAATCTCGGACCTCGGCCTCGCTTGCGACTTCTCCAAAAAGGTTTGGCGCTGCGTCTTTCGACGAGGCATGCTTAACGTCTTCATATATGTACCTCTACGACTGGAGCTCATTACCCTCGAATTTCCACAGAAGCCGCACGCTAGTGTGGGCACCCACGGTTACATGGCGCCGGAAGTTTTATCCAAGGGTACTGCGTACGATTCATCCGCCGATTGGTTTTCCCTCGGCTGCATGCTGTATAAACTGTTGAAAGGTCATAGTCCATTCCGGCAGCACAAAACGAAGGTACGGTCTCCTCGAAAACCGCGACTGCTAGAGGTCCAGGACGCGCCTCGCGAAATCGACTGTTCCGACTAACATAAGAGTGATTACTGTTTGCAGGACAAGCATGAAATAGACCGAATGACCCTAACAATGAACGTAGAGCTTCCGGATAGCTTCTCAGCGGAACTGCGCCATCTCCTAGACGGCCTTCTCCACAGAGAAGTGGACAAACGGCTGGGTGAGCTAATAATCATCATTCCCGAGAGAGACGTTTCTTTTAGAAGTTGACATTAGCGCAGACCAGTTTCCACGAGAGATCTCCTTGAAGTATGATGACTAATATCGAGCTCTCTCAGGTTGTCGAGGTCGTGGAGCAGACGAGGTGAAAAGTCATCCTTTCTTTGCGGGACTCGACTGGCAATTGGTCTATCTCCAGAAATACCCTCCCCCCCTGATACCACCACGGGGAGAAGTAAATGCGGCCGACGCGTTCGACATTGGTTCATTTGACGAAGAGGATACGAAAGGTTCGTCTCCGAGCCGCTCCTCTACCGAGGGGCTCGAAAATTACGAATTGTCGCTTGATATCATCCCAGCAACGATCGATCATGGAACCTGACTCCTTCGATTCTAGGCATCAAGCTGACAGAGGCCGACCAGGAACTGTACAAGAACTTCTCAGTCGTCATTTCCGAACGTTGGCAACAGGAAATCGCAGAGACTGTGTTCGAAACTGTGAACCAGGATGCCGACAAGCGCGAGCACAAGTCTCGGTCGAAAGCCAAGGTAATTACGATTGCGCGGCTCTTCATTAGAGCCCCCTTCGTCGCGTCGTGTCCGGCTCAGGGCGGATGAGATTAGTTTATTTCTAAATAACGAGATTCAACGGCGACTCTATCGCTACAGGCCAAGTTCGATCAAGAGGAGCAATCCGACTGCATTCTGCACGGTTACATCAAGAAACTCGGAGGTCCCTTCGCCTCGAACTGGCAGACCAAATACGGTTAGTATGCCCCGTGAGTTCTCCGAGATCGCCGAAATATCTTATCTGAGCCCCGCCCTCTTCACCATCCCCAAACGTACAAACTCCTCGGCGATCGTTCGGAACCTCGATCGACTCCTTGATGAATTCGCTCTGCTTGATATGGACGAATGAAATCCCTTATAATCAACTTAGCGAGACTGACGCAGCGTTTTCCCCTCCGAACAGGGAAACTCTACCCGAATCGTGTGGAGTTACACACGGAGTCTGGTAAACCTGAATTAATTTTTATGGACCAGATCGAAGAGATATGTGCTGACTATGTCAACGTAAAGGTAAGGAGACGACGAACGCTTTCGGGGAAAGACTCGCTCCTCGGGGCATGAACCTTTGTTGAATGATATCTGTCCTAGACCGTCCTCAAGCCAGATAGCCACTTCTCCCGGGCACTCCGAACTCTTCGTTCTTCCAGGGAGAACACAGCATCGTTCTCAAAATGAGGAGCAGAGACGAAAGGGATAAAGACGCTCGGATAATCTTTACGAATCAAGATGAGATCGGTCTCAAGGTGGGTTCTCCGGAGTTCGGTTCCTCGGAAACAATCCGGATCGATAGAAAGTTCCGAAACCCCTTGGCGCTCGTTCGGCTGCCGTGCTTTACGTCGGGTTTCTCCGCTGTTTTCCAGGAGTGGCTCATTTCTCTCAAACAAACGCATAAGCACTCACTCCAAATGCTTCAAACGATAGCCAAGAAAGCCGGAAAAATCTACGGGACAGCCAATGAGCCTGCGAAACAAGCAAACCAACAGTCGCCTGGCCCGACAGTTCACGCACAAGCTGCTCCCCCCGGCGGTGGCGGCCAGAATTCTCACCGCAACGGTAGTAACTGAAAGGATCGGCTCCCGAGAGATGAGTTGATGACGGAGTAAGATGAGCAATGTTGATTGTTACTACGCGAGCAAGTGACGATGATCGCCGCAATTGACGACGACGGCACGTAGAGCTAGCGACACGATTAGAGAGTCATACTGTCTGTACCTTGTCGAAAGAGTTTGCTGATCGTGACCAGGGAAAGGCTCGGATCGATTGCCCTCAACCTGCAACGTCGATGGAGACGCGTCTCTATCGGAGACATCGATTTCGTTCCGCGCGCGCGCTTTGAACTCGAAGACCTTTTTCTATTGTGTATACAGTCGGACAGAAGCATAGCGGGGACACACGGCCATCGCTTGGGTATTATGGACACATGGTACGCTACCGAGAACACTTTCACACTGTTGTGTTGACGGCAACCGTGAACGATTTCGGAAGAAAGATGTCTGCCAAATGTAGCCGAACCTTCCCTGGTCACTGACCAACGACAGAATCCTAAAAAGACCCAATGTACTCAATGTTATAGCACCGAACAACAACAACAGCAAGAATTTTTTCGTTGCTGCCGCTGTTGATCTCCCTCTTCAATGGAATGGGGTATTGTGATCAGAAAATTTAAAGGAGAAGCAAGGAAACTCAGCTTGAGAGACTAGTGGATCAATGCGGCGGGAAAGGAACGTACGGTTTTCTCATCCAATTTTTTTCGCTGAAACACAAAGTGGGATGACAGACGGACGGTCGATTGATCAGGAAAGGAAAAAACACTGTCAAGCGTGTCCACAACTCGACAATGATGATGAAACCAATGACGGTGAGTTGGTCGTTACAAGTCGACGCTGGCTGCTCGGTCGGTTGGTGGTTTGCAAGGAAGCGAGCTCGACATTTCTATTCCGAATCCGAGATCTGATTCTCTCGATTTACAGATTGCGTTTCGCTTCCTCCTAATTCTTAAGCGTCAGTAATGATTTTATCATCTCGCCTCATCGTATCGGTCAGGCTAGTGAGGCGTCGAACCTTTGCGACATGTGTAGGCTGCGCCCATGTCGGACCTGAGTCAGGAGTTGCTGATCTTACGGATGGCGACGGTGGAGGAATGGATTCAGGGGCAGGGATCAGTATGAAACCGCTTCTCCGGTATCGGAGTAAGAGCGGATCAGCTCAGAAAGAAATCGCCCCCCTTCCGTTCCGCCGCGGTACACTAGCTGCCTACGATGCTCTGTGATCAAGATATCATTAGTTCCATGTCGCACCGTTTTCAGCGAGCCGGTCGCTTCGGAGCGAGGTTTAGGGGCTTCCGGGGTCGAGGGGAGAACCGAGTCCGAAGAAGGATTCGTCTGGACCAGGAGCAATTGGAAGACAGGCGGCGCAAGGTGATTTATGGGATCGGAAAGAACATTTTGAGGAACCGCTATTCGTCAGCAGAGCAGCGATGAGCTTTGTCTCGAGCCTTCTCGCCGACATGAGCTTCCTGAGATGGGACATTCACCAAGATGTTCGAACGGCCGCTGTGGTGGGAGAGCTGCACTTGAGCAGATCTGGGCAGACTCGGGCGAATATTTTCGAGTGCTGAGATTTTTTCATGGAGGTTAATTCTCCTCGACTTTGTTGCTTGTTGTTTTCCGACCTGGATTATTTGTTTCACCTCATCAATTGTTCTCGATCAGCTCACAGAGTTTGTCTCTCATTTTCTGTCCCTCTCACAAACTTTTGAATACGAATAGATTGTCCTCGAGCAACACGGGGTGTGCGTGTGCATTCGAGGGGGAACTCCCTCGACATCGATCGGGGAATGAGTTTTGCACACCTCTCGAGCTGTTGACGAGGCTTCCCCGTCCTCTGCGACTCGAAATAAGCTCTGATGATAGAGATGACTCGAGAAGCCAACCACGGGCGCTCTTCCCATCTGGATCGTTCATAGCCTATTGGGACTCGGATACATATTATCCCAATGAAGCCAATTACACACAGGATTACGACCAAGCGACAGGTCGAATCATGATGCTCATACCATTTCCCTTTTCCTGTTGCTAACTATCGAGAATCAGTGAAACTGTCCGCGAAGTTCGTATTGTCGCGTCGGAACAAATAGGTAGTGATATACATGATTCTTCTTGGAATGATTTCACTCAGATGATGTCATCTGAGTACTTGGTAGCTCCTTTAGGAGACAGTATAGATTACCTGTATCCGTATAGGATAGGTCTGAAATGCATCACTAGTGTGCGGAGGAGTGTTTGCATATGTATTACCATCTCCAACACTTTTATTACGGGATTGACTGAGACCCAAATCTCCGAATGGTTGGCACTCCAAAACCGATCCATCCGATATATCCCCATAAAAATAAGTTGAAAAGATCTTCAGTGATTGAGACTCATCCTTACGCATCCATCCAGGCCCACCTACAAACTACGCGGATGACATGCGTTGACACATCGCCCGTGGATGGATCTACTCCCCACGACCTTCGACGCAGAGAATCGAAGAGCAGAAAAAGTCGCTATACATACCCAATGTATTATATCTTCAGAATAGAGGTGGCGCTGCACTAAAGATCAAAGATGGAATCTAGTTGGGAGCGCTCCGTGTATGAGCAATCGCCTTGGAATCAAGTCGAGGATTACGACCCGAAAATAAAACAAATTATATATAGAGGAATCCGCTGATAACCAAGCCTTGGGTCTCGACTTCGGCACTAGGACAGCCATATCGGTGATTGAGCCACACGGCTCCTCGTCGCAACCCCGATGATGTGAATTTGGAGTGTTTACTCCGTGCGCTCGCCCATGACAGTCCCCATCGTGATGAATAGAGGAGGTGTCCTTTATGACGATATTTATATTCCTCTCACGGATCCCATGAGGAGGAGAAACAAATAGATCGCGGAAGGAAGGCGGAGTCCCTTTAGCTGAAATCACCGCCTTGAAATCATGGGAAGCGTGGGAGGGACACGAATAGCGGCTCGCTTTGAGTTTTCGAATATTCGGTATGCGGGAATCAGTTGCGCTGAGGCGACGATTAATCAAGCCATGTGAGGACAAAACCTTCCTGTGAGTGCATTCCCTCGGAATGTCTCTCAGTTATTTGATGGACAAAGCAAGAGCCGCCTGTTGAATCCATCGTTCCCGATGGTGTCAGGCACCTCAGGAGTCAGGTCTCAAAAACTACCCTAGTCCAGGAAGAGATCGATTGTACAGCGTTTGATCGCGAGGAATCGCTGACAGCGCTCAGATCGTAGAGTTCGACTCACATCGATTGCTAGATCCTCGACATGCGACTTGTGCGTATCCTGAGGGAATCATCTCATTTTTTCTTGATATGTTCCGAGTTGTACTCGCGTCCTATAGAGATGGAGTATAGAGGTGCCTTGATTCATGTATCGGTCCCTCAAAGGATCCAGGGGTCCTACCATGATTCCCTCAGCGGATATCAATTCAGATCAAGACTCAAGCCCGTAGTCAAAACTAGAGAAAGAGATGCGGACAGTCATCTTTTCGCCGGTATCGGGAAGTCTGTCGAAAGTGTCTGACCTGAGTTTTTCCCAGTGAGCAATGAGTCGTTGACGCTCCCGCCCGTCGCCCTTCGTTCCCCGTGCACAAGGGGCGACGCCAGCCACCCGTCAAGCCAACCGAGCAGTCAGATAGCCGAACCTCGATCTATCATAGGAATACTCACGAGTACCCCTTGCTTCTCACGACTCACCTGACAGTGTCACACGCATACTCTCCCTATCTGTTCCAGGTTGACTACAGTCTCTTAAATCTGGAATTTTTTCGCCCCTCGGTAGCGCACGTTCGTTTCAGCGATTTACGTACGTGTCCTAACAATGCTACCAGAATTATAGTCATCATCATTATTATTGATACATTGTATTATTGCCATTGGTACCGGAGGCAGACTAGGACGGGAGCGGGGAAAGTGATCGAGGAGACAATGACATGTGGAGAAAACGTAGAGCCGGTTGGAAGGGAATACCTACCTTGGAGCTGACGACTGCAGTTAGAAACAGGACTCAAGCTGAGGATTTAGTGCTGGGTGAATCATCAAACAAACAAACCAACAAAGGCGGCTGAGCGACCGAGATCCAAGATGCCGGACCGGGTCTGATTCCAAGATGATCAGCACCGGTGAAAGAACAATCCGATTCTTGATGTTTTATACGTTTGAGGTGGCATCAATCTGTCTGGTCTAGGTGAAGTCACTCGATACTCATGATGGATGGAAATGATGACGATGACCTGGACGTTGTTGTAATCATGGTAGATCTAAGTTAGTACCAGCAGGAGTCATTATGATAGATATCAGTAACACTAATTTGCGCGGTAGAAGACCAAGGTACCAAGTTTAGTGATCTAGAAATCGACATTTCGGTGGATGGTGGTGAAAGGAAGAATGCAGAAAATGATGATGGATATGATGAATTTCGAATAAGTTGAAAACGATGGTTTTCGACGGAAGGCCTCCTGTGGCTCTGTGATTTGGGCCTTGTCGGCCATCGTACGGTCACGCCTACAGGCCTAGCACAAACTCTGCCTGTATCGAGCTTGGCAATGAGCTGCTTACCCTGTGGAACACTTAATCGTAATTGACATCGGTGATGTATTTATCGAAGTTCGTATCGCTGTTTTAATGATCATTATTATTGGGTATCAATAAAATTGACACGAAGATCACGAACGCTCGCAATGGAATCTCACCTGATTGCCGGGCATGACGCTCGATATTACATCTTTTTCGGTTCACTATCCAAGGACATAGGTTCCCTTGGCATAAGCGAGCTGAGAATCCATCGGTCGATCGTCAGACCGCCTGTCGAATCTCCCAAAAGTTCGACGGGTGCCTGATCTGCGACTGCACCAGCCTCGGTCAGGGAAAAAATATTGACAAGATGGTAGCGCATCATATAGAAGAGCAGAATTATCGCACCGGATCGCGCATTTACCCCTGAACCCGATGTGGATGAGCAGCGCGGAGAAGAAATAAAAAAGAAACGGGTATGGAGGGCGGAGGCTCGGAAAATGCGCGGATCGGAGGAATCATCATGATAGTGCTCTTATTCCCTGCGTCAACCGTCCCCCCGTTTCCGTGAACCAGGCATCCATCATTCCTTTGTTCAATAATAGGAAGTCATTCATTTATTCATTTGTCTATTCTTCTACTTATTGGTCCATCCTTCACACGTCAAGTGTGACTCAGTCAGCCTCAGAGGCTTGGGAGGAGGAAGAGGAGATAAGGCCGAATCGAGCTCCCCGGATATTCTCGTGGAGATCGGATGCATATCGAGCTTTTCACATGTTAACGAGCGAGGAGTTCAACCTCTCATGGTACTTCAGAGAAAGTCATGATCTTGTCAGTCGAAAATACAGAGTACGAAAACCTATACAAGGCTTTCCACGGTGCGATATAGCGGTTGGAAAGCCCGGGCATTCCAGCTCCATCGTATCCGAAACGACTCATCATTTTGGAAAATACATCCGTGAAATCATTGCACAATAATTATGTCATGCAGGTCGACAACCGTCGGAACGTGAGACGGGAGTCAACGAATACTAAATCTTGTACGTTTTCAGTGGAAATCTCCTGTATCGGCGCTGTCCAAGCGTATCGCTTGGGAAAGGGATTGCTGAGCGTCCGTCACAATAATTAATGAATTGTCGCTCATCTCAGAGAGAATAAACGCCTCCTTCAGGATTAGGCTGTTTAGACCCTCATCTGGAAAGACATTGAAGTGTATCTACGACGTGAGTCCCGCGAACTTTCAATATTTGTACATCTTGAAGAGGCGAGGTGTCGAGCCTCGTCTTCTTCGGGGACGACGCCAACTTTTCACGCATGCAACGGTGCACGCCCAACTCCGGCTATTTCGATGCTTTTGCGAGGAATCATGATCCGCTGAAAGGCGTTGGACACTCGCTGCGCGGTCTCACGTGATTCGAGCTCTAAAGCACTCGGACATTTTCCCAAGAATACTCCCCGATGCCTTCATTCTCCGATGAATACAAAAGATCGAATCAGGCGCTTCTCTAGACTCCGATCCCTCAGCCAGACAATGCCCGAAACAGGTCAGGCAGCACGCGACTCGAGTCATAGAGCAGCCAAAAATCGTTCACATACATTTGTATGAGCTGCTGGAGCTCTTGCGTTGTCCATCGAAGGAAATTATCTACATCGATCAGTAGCGTTTACAGAATTAATCCTCTCCAGTGCTTGACATGGTGACCATCCCCCTCCCTTCTAATAAGGCACCTTGTATGTCGAACTTTCGTAGAAACTCGAAATTATTCGCGAGGAGACTTCGAGAATGCCTCTGCTTTCTCCAATGCCTTATCGCCAATCGACCCGCAATCGGAACCATTGGTGACAAGGTCATGGGGCCGAGGCAAGGGAAGCGGGGTTTGGGAGAATATAATGCTCGCATCGGGATCCTCGAGAGCGTCGCCTACGCTTGGTCCTCCGATTGTATGTGCGCTTTTTCTAGTCCATCGGTACGATAAAATTCTGAATTTCGAAATTTTCGGAGCAGAAGCGAATCGCCCATGCGAGGACGATCATCATTCGAATATGGTGAACTTGAGCGACAGTCGAGCGTCGATTGCGACCGAAGATGTGATCTGTAATCGGACTCCTAAGAGCGACGCTGGGTTCGCGAAGGATGGTGTATCGATAGAGCCCTCTCAGGCTCATGTCCGATTCGCCGCAAGAAGTTCTAACATCCGCAGGTCTCCATATCGAGACTGGGGCGTAGCCTTATCTCGTATCACTACGTCGAGATCCTTCGGCTCAACGCGGTTCCTCATTCGCACTCTCTCAGAAATACCAAGGACCCACCCGGGTAGCCTGGGTTCTCTGTCCTAGATACTCCTCTTGGCTCTCGCAGTGTCTTTCTGGCGTCTCTTCTCCTCCTGTCAAGGAGCAAAGGTCCCGTTAGGTGTCGCCAGTCAGATATACATGTAGCGTGGTATCGTGACACCGGAGCAACGCTCACTGAATACTCAGGCTAAAATCTCCTTCTTGCACTGACTTTTTGTTTCTTTGTCTCTTGGCGTTTGTGTTCCCGCACCAGATCTTCCCGGCTAAGGTCAACCGCGATCACCTGCGAGAGTAGGACGTGAGAATATTCATCCATGTCGCAGGCATTTGCCCAGAATGTCGCATGAAGCCTTGTACACGAGCTGGACCTAATGTATCTGTCGGACCCACCTGCCTGATGAAAGGTTCCTCGAGCAAGTTATCACCAGCTACTTTGAGGGACTTCAAAACCTCGAATGACTCAAGATATTGACCTCGAGCTCCCGCCTGTCGAATCGAGACGGTTTTAAATTTCATTCTCTTCATGGCCAGCTCTTGTGCGGACCTTCGCGTCGAAGGAACTCACCTTGCTGGAAGCGCTTGAACCCAGAACCGAGTCGATCAGTACGATGCCGACTTCGAATAGGACTCGGATACCTTCACAGAGGAACATGTCGAACACACGGAGAACGCATGGCCATGGCAGCGTTCTTGTGAAACAGCACATGAACCACTCGGTCATCACACAAGTCGGATTCACCTGTCAGATCATAAGAGCGAGATTCTCTGAGCGGGAATTCTGATTTATCGATCGCCGCGCGCAGAAATCGCACTTCACTTACGTCTAATTTGTTGAGTCGTTGCGCCGCTTTGGGTGAGAATTTCTTCAACAGACCGAATAGAATCAAGCCATCTAACTGAACGGTTTCCTGAAGTGACGGCGGCAGGTATGTTACGTGGGAGATCCTGAGCTCGCTCGAGAGGTAGATCGTTTGGGATATCCATAGGGGAGAATGTCTGCCCTCTCGCTTACCAGCCCGGGACTGTAGTAACCATTCAGATACTTGTCACAGATTTCGACAAAACAGAAGAAAGCGTCCTCGGTTGGCATATGCATGAGTAAGAGAGCCGCAACTGGCGCCTGGGCCTGACAATATCCTGGAACGATATATTCGGTCGCATTCGCGATTTTTCATTTCGTGAAGTTTGGAACCTCAGTATCTCATTTATACATACCGACTTCCGGTCGCATTATAGAGTAAGCTTTGAGGACGCGGAACAGTTCCTTTTGCCCAGACTCATCCTGTGAAGTTCGAAGGGAAGAATTCAGGGTCGGTTCTCAGAGAGAGCAACGATTTCTGGGGGCGGCACGCCCTATCTAGTCTCGTACCTCCGATTTGAAGAACTCGTGATCGGGGAATTGCCTGTCGATATCTTTCCGAATATCATCCACGTATACTGGGTCGCCGCTTTGAGAGTCTAAGTCTTGAAACAGACCCTGAAAGAAGGCCGAGGCTCGGATCGTCAGAACTCCGATGGAAATCCCGATTTTTTTCGCATTTCTCACTGCCCCGAGGAGAGTTCAGGATGAATAGGCTTACTTTTCGTTTTTCCTTGCGGAACACACCTCCGCAAAGGTAGGGCCAAGCGGCCATTCGCATCGACGAGGGAATTCCTTTGCGACATCTGTTGCGCAGCTGAAATGAGTTCATCGATTCAGGTTTTCCGAAGCTCACGAGCCCCCGCCTCGATTAATATGCTAGGGGCACTCTCCTCCGCATATTTCGTGATATGGAAGTCAAAGTGTGTGTCCATTGCTTGAAGATATCCGTGACGCCACGCATACTGATCGTTAGGGTTCATCAGATTGTTTCACGGAGCACCGTCGACTGGTCAATAATTCATTCGTAATCTCATCAGCGCAATCGTTGGGATGAATGTTCAAGAATCTCAGAATCAGGTTTTTCACTCCTATCTCTAATCTGATGACGAATCCATCTGAGAACCTTGCTGTCATTTTCGACTGAATTCCTACCTTCTTGAATTTCTTCGAAGTGAAGAGATCCCATTGCTGGAGCATGTCTCTCCATTTCTGTTCTCTACGCCGCAGAACTTCGCTTGGAATACTGGATTCTACGGCTCTGAAAAAGTAAGATGGTGCTCTCATGAGTAAGCAAAAGGTGTCTCGATCGAGGATCTCCGCTTTTGCGATGGATTCAGGATCGACGCAAATCATTTCACTTTCCCTCAACTCGAGCCTGACTCATTCGTGATCGATTGGACAAATAATAACAGGTGATTCCCGTGCGAACTGGCCTCATCTCAGGATTATCCATAATTCCAGCCTGATCAGTAGTGATCAGACTAGAATACTGAAGCCGCAGAATTATCTAGTAGCCGAGATATTACTTAAAAATAATCGAGGCCCCATGATACCTATGAGAATCACATCGTTCTGATGCCGCAGCGCTCACTGCGGAGGTGGCCACCGAACGACCTCGGGAAGATTAAGATCACTTGTCTCCGTCGATGAGCGAAATACCATCGATCCTCGACTAACTGAACGAGACATGCCGTCTCCGACTCGAGTAGAAAAAGCATGTGTCGAGTCAGCGGCGCTTCGAAAACTGAGGTCATAGCCTGAAGCTTCGTGAGCGACCCAGGCTGTCGGTGTCGGAAGACCGCAGCACCGAATGGTCCAGCAGTTGACCGAACGGTTGACAGGCAGCAGACAAAAGATCATGGGAGACTTCAGAGCGGTCATTTCAGCTGTGGCTTCCGCCTCATACTTCCGAACCAAAGACAGATCGGAATCTTTCAAGAAAGGGTCAGCCCGCTGATCTAAATGATATATCCTGAGTCTGCGAGTATTCTGCTTGAAACCGAGAGAACACTGCACTGCTGGAGAGCCACGGAGGAACTCCAGCGGAGTTTCCGTTAGACAGCAATCAGCTGACTGGTGACAACAAAACGGTGGACTCTGGGCAATTCACGCTGTCGAAAGTCTGTATTATATCGGATCCCAATGTGGAATAGCCTTGAAGTTTCCCTCACCTCACATCTTTCGTCACGTGTGGCGCTCGAATGAATCCGTACTTATCGGGCTGTAACTGCTGTTGTTCTTGATCGAGGGAGGTGTTGTCGCCTTGCCCGATGTCTTTCGTGACGGGTTCGTTTGTTCCCATCGTTATATCTTCGTTTTAGTACACAAAGCGATGGTGGGCTTCAAGGGGAGCACCGGAACTCCGCCATAATAACGAACTCCACAGGAGGATAGGTGGCAGAAAAGTCGGCGACTTCACGAACACAGAGCCTCACAACTCACAGTCAGAGGGGAGACAGCGGCAGCAGGCAATGGATAGTCGCCGAAACGTCCAGCAGAGGGGGCCGCCATCTTGCTTTCTATCGCATGTGCAAGGAGTGTCGACATCTGACCGCCAGGCAAGATGGCGGCGGACCAATTCGGCTGCCAGATAAACGGCGCGGCACGACCACAGGGCCCCCAAACCCTCGACTCATCCGTGGAAAAAACGCCGTGTTCGGCATTCGTACCTGTCCTTCCCGACAATCGTGGTCTCGCGAAGACGCAAGCCGACGATGCAGGAGAGAAGCTACGCTCGGCTGGGCGACCGAGAACTTCGGCCGCTGTATCGCATATTCTCGACTTATTCGAGAGGCTCGCCCTTCCTCCTGGCCGCTGTGAGACCGTATTGTAGTACGTATACTGTAGCACGTACTGCACTACTGTACAGAAAACGCATTGCAGTTCGGGGGTGATGAATCGAGCATTGACTTCATCATCACCAAAGGAGGTCGGCCGTGCGATTGGAATGCAACTTCCAAAACATTATCCGGCTTCACGTGGCCGAGCAGAACATTGCGCGCGAAGAGATTTCCTGCGCAAGAATGATCCGACTTACGGAGCACATGCAAAGTTCTCAAGGAACCCCATGTGCCGTGCCGAGGCATGACTCTCAGGGAGCCGAGGAAGCGGGCGAATCTCGAGACTAAATCGAGAAACGTCAAGTCTTTGGATGCGTAGAGCTCGTTCGGAATGGAACGCGGATCATGGCGAATTGAATCTAATCCTGCTCGATCACGCACAGGAACATATTGTTCAGCGAGTAATTTCATGGCGCGGATCCCCTTGAGGCTCATGTGTTCCGCCTTTCACACCTGATCGGAAGCCTCCAGAGCCCGATCCTCAGCGGCTCAGGATATCGTGACTTCAAGCTTGCTCCCATGGAAGTTTTGCTCATCCATGCTTTGGGAGCGTTCGAGGCCGACCTTCGAACATTCGGACTCGGGGAGACTTCACTCCACGCTTCCTGGGTCAAGAATCAACCAAATCCAAGGATCGTCCACGGCTGATGGGAGGATGAGAGTCGATCCTAGCTCCCTTTCTTGTGTCAATGAGTCGGTGATGTTCAACTCAATCATAACGGGTGAGATCAACGTTGATTGTAGCGTGATCTTGCCTGGGAAAGCCCCTAGTTTCCGAAGGAAGAATATTCGATGATTCCATGATGGTGCGGTGGGGTCCCTTTGTTGAGGACGTGCGGGTTTTGAGCCCCTTCTACCCATTCATCATATTGCGTTCACATGCGGTGAGCTCTCTCCGACTGGGCCGGAAAATCCCTCTCAGGAGACGCAGCGCGATTCACGCTCCGAGGAGAATCTTCCCTCTACGGCCTTCGAGTTCTTTCCTAGGAGATCGGTCTGCGGCTGAGAGAAATTGGTTCGGTGAAGCCCCCTGGTGCCCCCAAGTCGTGCGATCAGTGTCCCGACAGCGCTTTCCATGGATGGGGAAGTTCTTCTCGACCGAGAACTCCGAATGGGATGCCCCTGATTTTTCGATTGAGAAAGGAATCTTTTTCCATTCTGGGGAAGAAATGACCGGTACTGCGGTATCCAGAAAACTATCAATGTTTCCGAATTCCAGGACATCTCCAAGTCCGTAGAGTTCAAGGACGACTGATGCAAGAAGGGGGTGTTCTCCGCTCAGCTCGCCTCTAAAGGTTCGCGAGAGGCTTTCCCAGAAAACTCGAAGCGAGGGAGGCATCTTCACCCTCAATGGAAGCTGAGGACTGACTTCGACTCGCTAGGGGATCATATTCGAAAGTCGGCATTTACATCTCGAAGATGCGCGATAGATTCGGGCTATGACTTGTCGTAGAAAAGATCTAACAATGTCCTAACATCCCTAACAAGATCCCTAATTATCCCTAATCCCTAATTATTATCCCTAATTTTAATTATTAATCGATTATCCTAAGACCTTGGGATGTTGACGGGAGAAAAGTGCTAGCTGTTATTCAGTCTCTGGCAATTCAGTCTCACCTCAACAGCTCTCGGAGTTTTTGATCGATATTCCGGGTCGCGAGGATCGCGGAAACTCTCGGCCTAGATCGGGTCGCCCCCCTCCGATCTGACGGGCATTCCCAAGAAAAGACGTCAGACCGGCGACATCTCTGAGAAACTGAACCATCATACTCTACCATGCCTGACCACAGTAGTCTCGAGAGGATTGAGAAGGCGCACATCTGGTGAGGAACTCATTCTGGCTCTTGCGGCTGCCGACTGATGATAATTCGGGTTTTTGCGCCCCCGCTCCTGCGATTCATTGCTCTCATATCTTTCACACCATAAGTGAGGTGCGGAAATTGAATCATCCTCCACAAGCATGGATTTCTGGAACGTGGAAGTGTGCTCAAGGACAGCTGAGCCTTCGGAGTGAAAGGGCGTATTACGCGCGTTCGCTCTGAGCACACTGTCGTTCCTCGACCGAAAAACTCGCCGGTCGGAGTCCGCCGCGGCGGCCGCTAGGTAATCGGGGCAGCCCACGTTTCGAGCCATTGCTGAGCTAGATTGCTCAGGCCACGGCGGGAGAAGCTCCGAAGCCCACCTACAGCATCGCAGGTCGACCGGAGAAACCCATACTGAGGCGGACCGGGAACTCTTGGCTCCCGGAGCTCCTCGTCGTGGATCGACCTCTTCCGCGCCATCGATTAAGCTGGACCCGAGCTTGATGTAGACTGTCAGGAGGAGCATGGATACCCCATTCTTTCTTCGCCCGCTCGACGGAAGCTGATTGAATCCTTCGCTATATGCTTGAAGTTCTGTCTTGCCTATCCGGACTTTTTTCCATGAGCTGCATTCTAATCGTCGATCGCTCGCTCTTGGAAGTATCTACAAAGAATCTTTCGGCCGGCTGACTTCCGGGGGGGCCAGAGCGGGGACGACTTCAACAATCATCGAGCCCGTGCCGTTTGTCGTAGTTAGGGGCATGGATGTTCCGCTTCAACGAATGATCCCTGTGATCAATGGGGCATCCCCAAGTCGAGCAGTGATATCACTGCGAGGGCGCACAGTGGTACGCGAACTTCACTTGCCGGTGGGGCGGCGACCGAGCCTGAGCATTGTCGAATGGAGTGGAAGTTGCGTCAAGAGCCTTTGTTGAATCGATGAGAGTGAGTGTTGTATGAATTACGCTCTGAAAGTTTAGGCGTGTGTACTCCTAAGGGCGCGCTCTCCGGCGATTCCCGGGCGCCAAGCCGTGGGGGAAACTCGAAGAAGCAGGAAGTTCGATAAGCGTGAGGCCGGCGCCGCCCAATTAGCCAGCTTGCTCACACTCGATGAGATTCGGTAGCGGCATCGCTGCTGCGGCGGCCGCCGCCGCCGAGGAAGATCCGTTGACGGAGAAGAGGCATTCGGCGCAGAGAGTTTTCAAAATACTCATCATCGGGATCTAGTTTTCCTCACAGCATCCGTCTATCGCTGTTGCTTGTCGGCGGCGCTGCTGATGGTGACGAGAGGAAGAAGTTCGTCGTCACTCTGATCGTTGGTTGGCTGCTTCTCCGAGCGGCTTGCTGGGTTTGGTCGTTCATTCGTCTGTTCATCCATTACGTTCGGTTTCTCCATTCCTTCTCCACCGGCGAAGAGAAGAGCCGCGTCACAACATCGTCGACCCTCCTCTTCGCCCATCGACAGCGGCGGCGGCGGCGGCGGCGGCGGCGGCGGCGGCAGCAGCAGCGGCCAGCATAGGAGAAGCGGCGGTAGCAGCAGCAGCAGCGGCGGCGGCATTAGCCCCCCGCGTTCGGTCCTCGCCCGCTATCACTGCGCACCTGTGGCAGCCGCGGCTAGCTGGCCAGCGGCGACGACGACCGACCGACGAGTAGACAGAGCAGAAGAGTGTCTTCGCCATAACGGCTGCTTCTTGACTGTCGCGATCCCGCGTGCTTGATCGACGTTCCTCCGAGTGACTAACTGTCTATTTGTGAGCCTAACTACCGCTTGCCGAACGGATCAAGAGCTAGCAAGCAACATATCGTCGCTTGCTTTGTAAAACCGTCCGGATCATCGAGATTCATCGAGTGGTGCTGCCGCGACCCAAGCCGGTTCGTTAGCTCGTCTGGAAAGCAGTGAAAGCTTTTCGAATCAACGTTCAAAATGACCGAGTCCGAGACCAAGACCGAGGTTTCTCCTGTTGAGGACAAACCCAAGGAGGAAACCGCGGCTGCCGGTGCCGAAACAACGGCTACCGCCAACGAGGAGCCCCCGGTGAAGGAGATGCGGGCCGTAGTGCTGACCGGTTTCGGGGGTCTTAAGTCGGTCAAGATCCAACAGAAGCCGCAACCCACCCCCGCCGAAGATGAAGTACTCATCAGAGTTCGTGCTACGTAAGTTGTCGTTTTGATTTGACCATTTCATTACGCGTCTCTGCGCCGAATATGTTTCGCCCGCCGGCCGGCCGGCGAGTAGCCGCCAGATAGACAGCCATGTTTTCGCCCGCCACACCCGATAGCAGAGCACTACTAACACTAGTACTGCCCCGCCCTAGGTGGCGGAATGCTTGAAATCTGTCGTTTTTCCTCGAACGCGACATTAGAATCAAACGTCTAGAACTTTCTGTGGGACCGTTTTGCGAGAATTCTGAAATCGTACGCTCGCTGTCATGATCAACAGGCTGGGCTGGGGGTGTCGGGGCGGCGACCGAATGTGCTCGATGATGGTTGGTCGGTAGCTTGGCTAGCTGGTTGGCTGGTTGTTTGGTCGGATGGATGGATGGGTTGCCTGCCTGTTGGCCGGCCGGTAGCCTGCTGCCGGCTGGCTTGTTGCTCGCTGAATAGATGACTCTCTTGGTTGCCGCTTGGTTTGAGGAGCTGCGGCATCGGGTACACGACGACGATGCTTGCTGACTCGGGGCGCGGCACCGTCGTCAGCAGCATTGACGACGACGACACCGACGGTGACGACGAGCGCGGCGGACAACAAGATGGCTTCTCGGCTTCGTAATTTTTTCGTTCTTCCACTGAGCATTGTTGCTTTCCGCTATTATCAACTCCTCGCTCGAGACAAAGCCGAATCGCCGTTTTTTTCGGCGATAAGCCGCCGATTCCAAATGTTTCCGAGGGATGCCATTGCGTGGGGGTGGGGAATCTAATATTATGAACTGCCGTGTGCGATTCACTCCTCTCGAAGGGATTTCATGACCGAAATACATTCTTCGTTCGAGGCCGGGGATCATTTTGCTCTACCGTCGGCGATTATTATTATCGACAACGATATTTCGTCCGATCGGCCGATGCGTGAGTCTGAGCGGCAAAAGCGCAGAAATATTCCTTCGAGCGAAATGTCAGCCTCTTGGCGCTTTCACGTCTTGATTGGAAACCGTCTCTCGTCAGGCTCTCGAGCAATTCCAATCGGAGATCGATCAAAGTCAATCAGACCGCGATGAGTTCCCAATGCTGAACGTCGCTTTTTGAGTGCGGTCGAGGGAGACTTAGTTTGGTCGTACGATCAGTAATGAATCGCTGTCGATCGTCGACTGAATCGAGCTAAAAATTTCAGGTTACTAGATCTTATTTCATTGTTTTGGTTCGAGCAACCAACAGTCCGAAAGGCTATCTCTCGCTAGTATATACAAGCGCGCTCAGTCGCGCCGGCAATTGTAAACTGAGCGCGCAAGACGTGAGCCTCAATATACGGACGAGTCTATTCCACAGTCAGCTCTACGAGAGATCACGTCAGGGAGGGCGAGCCTCTGGAAAGAATCATACCATATCGCTTGATGATAGATTCTCGACAGTCTAACCGAGAATCATTATTATTGATGGAGCTCGGCTCAATCCTCCCTGAGCGGACGTCTTGCCAAAAAGAGCGAAAATATACGATATAAGCGACTCGGACAACTCGAAAACCATGGTGTGGGCCGCATGGTCTTCTGGAGACGAAAAGTAGACTAATCAGTGACACTAGCTGGTTTGCCAAATTGTCGAATTATTTCTCGCTGTCTCGCTCTAGTGTTGACTCGATCCGTCTCACTATTTTCCCGTGTCTCTCTTCTTCTCTTCCATTCGGCGTAGACGTGCTGAGAATTTTTCCACGATGCGTCACAAGCGGTTGGAATTCGACGATCGCCACCTCAACGTGCTTTAGACGAATACCCTGGATTCTCGGGTTCCTGCTTCAGTCACATGGCGCGACTCATTACCGAGATTCGTTTGCCAAATTCCAAATCGATGATGAGAGCTAATCTTGCTCGCATCTCGGCATCCACGACGGACATTATACTTCCGTGCAAGATCATACGCAAGAATGATGGAAAATTCCCCCAGAATATAACTATTGAACGAAATACGGATAATATGAGCGCGGACTCCCCGGGCTGCGACTGACGTCTACAGGCGCTTAACTCAGTGCGGTATAGATATATGAGCTTGGAACCGAGATTTAATTTCCATCCCAATTATTCTTCCAGTGGTCTCAACTTCCCGGACTTGATGGCGAGGCAGGGCGCTCTCGATAACCTGCCGAAGGCTCCTTTCATCATGGGCTTCGAGCTGGCGGGTGAAGTGGAAGCCGTCGGAGAGAAAGTTGAGGGATTCACTGTAGGCCAGAGGTTAGTAGATATATATCGTGCTCTTTACCCGCAGACAGGGAAGGGTGTTCTTCCTCGGAAACTGCATATACAATTATACAAATAGTTCCATGCCTTGACTTTTGTAGTATCTTTGCTCAAGACAGCCAGTCTGTAAGTCGACGTTTCCCGATTTGGATCCGATACGACTCGTGTGACCCATTGGTAATATATTCTAACATGCTGATCCGTCTCTTTAGAGTTTGCGCGCTGTCCGACATGAAAGCCTGGGCTGAATTGACGGCTGTTCCAGCCAAGCACTGCTATCCTCTTCCTGACGGGATCTCCTATCAGGTACTTGGCCAATCGTCTCGAAACTCCCCTCAGTGAACGAAAGAATGACGAAAACGACATTGTTCGTGAACAGCGATACGATTCTCGATCTCTTCTCTCAGGATGCCGCTGCCGTACTTGTGAACTACACTGTTGCCCATAGTCTATTGTTCGACGTGGCCAATATCCGGAAAGGTCAAACCGTTCTCATCCTCTCGATCGGTAAGCACGATACAGTGGAGTGAAGAGGGGATATTCTTCATTCTATAGAATTTCCTACGAGCTTTACGTGACACATGTCTGCAAAGTCGAAATCCCGCGTTGTATCGGTTGTAGAATCGAGCGCAACGAACCGTGCTTTCCGGAACGCATTCGCCGGCGGGACATTAATTCGGGTGGGGATGCGACACGGGCGTCTTCGGTGCTAACGTAGAATGCTTTCGTTCCTCAGGCGGGGGTGTCGGTCAGGCCTTGGCTCAGTTGTGCAAGACTGTCAAAGATGTGACGGTCATCGGAATTGCCTCAAAAGCCAAGCATGAACAACTGAACGACGTTTGTCACCATCTGCTCGAGCGGGAATCCTACACTGTCACACAGGTCAAGAAGGTCGCCGAACACGGAGTCGATGTCGTCCTGGATTGCTCGTGCGGCGAGGATGTCAGCAGGGTTAGTGTCTCGGATTCCGATTTCCCTACTCAATCTGAACGCAAGAATGGAGGAGTACCCGGTCGACGACAGCGGATGCAGGAATTCAATTCTTCTTTTACAGGGCTACTCCCTCCTCAAGCCGATGGGTCGCTACGTGCTTTACGGCACTTCCTTCTTCGTTTCGGGCGAGACCAAGAACCTCTTTTCCTTCGCCAAGAGCTGGTGGCAGGTCGACAGAATCAACCCGATCAAGCTGTACGACGACAACAAGAGCATCAGCGGCTTCAATATGCGTCATCTCCTGTTCCAGCAGGGACAGCACGCGTATATTGCCGAGAAAGTCGCAACCGTCTTCGATTTGTTCAAGAGCTCCAAGATTTCCCCGGTCGTAGACTCGACTTGGGCCTTCGAAGACATTGCTGAAGCCATGCAGAAGATGCATGACCGCAAGAACGTCGGCAAGCTGCTCCTGGATCCGGCCAAGGAGCCCAAACCGCGACCTGTCGAGCCCGAGAAGCCCGTCAAGGTCGGACGAAAGGTGCGTAAACTCAGCTAAATAACGCTATCGCGAACGCCGCATGATGTCAGAGTACAGGTCGGCCTACAGCCAGTGAATTACAACGTTATCCCTCTCGTTCCTTAGGAAAGCAGAAAAGACAAGAGGAATAAGGAGAAGAAGGAAAGCGAGGAGAAGAGCAAGAAGGAGGCTGACGAGAAGAAGGCTGCAGCCACCGACAAGAAGTCCGACGACGCTAAGGAAGCCAACGACAAGGATGCTTCAAAGGAAGAAGCGAAGAAGGAGAACGGCGATGCCGAAGAAAAAGAGAAGTCGAAGGACTAAGTGTGTTCCTGTGTTGGGATGCCCTCTATCTGTTTCGGCTCAGCCAGTTGTTGAGCTGTTGCTGCAGCTGCCGGAGAGGTCGAGGGCTACAGCAAGCATCTAGGTCTCGTCGCACATCTTTTCACCCCATCTAATGGAACCTGACACTCTCGTGACGGCCTAGACCAAGACGTCGAAGAAAAAGGATAGCACAATTTTAATACACCGCCGACTGATTGAATCGTACATTGATCAGGAAATCAAGCATGCATGTAAACCGATCGAAGAAACATTTGGCCAAATTTGTACGGCGCCTCTGCTCCCACTACTCTGGAGCGAGCGAGTCAGCGTGCGAGAAAGGAAGATTTTCAGTGGAAAGATACCTTGGATGAGCGTCGGACAAGGAAGACTTTTAACATTTTCAACAGAGGAAGACAGACGGCGATGATTATAATGATAAAAACAACAACGACTTCCTACGATCCGATGGGTAATTTTCTCATTATTGTAACTGTCCTAACTTCGACGAAGCAACGAAGAAACATTGGAGATTTCTTCCATGTCTGCTCATTACCGTGGTTGATTTGTGCTCATTTCGGTGCTCATTTGAAAGACGAACTGTTGGATGGATGGGCTGACGGATGAAAGGCAGAAAGTTAGATACAGAGCAGAGAATACGAGGTCAGACGACAAGGCAAAAACACGGGAGAGTTGCCCGCATGAATACGAAGAAGATGAAGCCAGTAAACTGAACAAAGTCGATACTATGCCCCTCTCTCATTGGCATACCATTGCAATTTACTGTATTAGATGTATCTGTCGCAGATCCTAGCGGCGACAGTCTAGTAGTGAACGCGGTATCAGACATCCACATACACCATCCATACATTTCACACACATATCTCTCACTCATCATCTGATAATTTGGTATAAACTTGACGGTCTTATTGTGTCACGGGCAGGGGCGTACACAGTTTTTCCGCGGCGGAGCTACGTTCAGTTCCGGGGAGAAACGGCTTCAGAATGCGCGTTCCTCGAGTCCTATGCTCGAGTGTTGCAGCCGTAAAACCTTGGGGGCCCCACTCGGTCCCTCCTGAGTACGCAATTGATCACGGGCGGTGGGCCGCTCCGATTCTTCCAGCCTTTGGCACAGAGCGCTGCAAAATGAATAAAACTCATTATATTCCTAAACTTTCTATTGAATGGAACCGTGTTTTGAAAGTCATATGATAAGTAGAGCTCCGATTTCGTAACATCAAGAACATGGCCGGACTCGAGCGCGCGCTGGCTCGCTCTCGCCATCTTTCACGGAGTGAAATCGTCCAGTCCGTCGCCTGAATCTCCGTCCATCGAGTAGCACGCTTAGGAAGCTCGGAAACTCATGATGAATAGATCATGGCCCCTTATTCCCGGAGTGAAGGGACGCACATGCCGTATGCACAGCTCGTGGTCCTCCATCGATTCGAACGCTCCCTAGTTAGAGGTTCTCAAACTTGCCTGTACGGGGAACCCCTGAGGAGTTCGACGGAAACCTCAGGCCCTGGACCCTTCCAAGGAACTACAGCCTCATCTGCTCCTAGCATCGAAAAACCTTCGGATATCGACGAGAGCCGAGTATGTCGCACAGGATGCATCAGGATACGCAAGCGGATTACAATTGTGAGAAAGAGATCGAACAAGACGATTGCCGGCTCGCGGAACCCTAGGTTTCTGTTGGATCCCTGAGAACCGCCGTTTCGAGTTACGCTCAGCTGATGACGTCCTCGGATGAGAATCCAAGACGACGAGGACCCTCCTCCTGACTAACTGGACAGGCTCGAAGAATAGAAGAGCCGAGCCCGCGCCAAGCCGTTCGTGATGAAATGTTCCTGCACAGAAATGACATGTCCTCGTCCGGTTTCGGTCGAGATGCGAGAGAATCGTTGCGTGTCTACTCCCCCGAGCGATTAGGGGTGACTCGAGCACAACATGCTTGAGTCAATTTGCTCACAGCTGGACGATCGTGATAGAAACTTACAAGAATTTATGCTTTCCTTGCGGAGGCATCCCATCGGATGGGCGGTTCGGAACTCCAACATCGGATGATGTTTTGGCTTGGCGAGTCGGCCAGATACCTACGCCTTGAGCTCATGAGTTGACGGGGGAGCTCCTCGACCTCGTACCCTCATGTCGTTCGTGACCATCGCATGCGCCGCGAAGCGCTCCCGAGCACTTGCTTCATGCGGCACGCCGGCACCGGGGCGAGTGAACATTCTCTTATATTCGGGATTATTTCAGCTGATAATCCTTATAAGGAGCCTAGGGCGGAAACCGAAACATCTTGAACACTCCGGATGATCACACATTCCCCTCAGCTGAGGTAGTGACCCTCAGTCAGGGAAGAAAGCCGGTAATGAGCTCCTTAATCAAGCCACGCCTGTGTGACGACATCCCAAGGGCGCGAGGAAAGAAAGAGATATCTTTGGGACAGACAGAATTCGAGAATATTCAGATTCTCGATGGGGACAAGAGCTGTATCCTTTTCCGCTGGTCAGGCAGATGAGCTAAGCTTCAAATCCGAATTTCAAATCGGAAACGACTGCAGGAATTCCGAGATGTCAGGGGGGTACTTTGGTTGAGGGCACGGGGGCCATAGCACCCCCAGGGTTTTTCCGGCTGAAGTAGTTGGTTTATTTGCTGATCATTCCGGGGAATCTCCCATCTAGAGCTCATCGAGGCGCTCGAAGCCCGCCGGGAAAAGTTGATCGAGCTGTTCCTGGCGTTCCCGCTGATATGACTGCAGGCGTCTCGAGGGTTCCCGAGAAGAGCATAGTGTCGATTAAGCTGATGTTTGAGTTTTCTTGGATTCAAGCTATTCGGAGTGCTGACTCTCTCGAGTCTTCCCCACTCAAAACAGAGCTTCCCAGAGACGTCTTCAGGCGCATATACCGCGGGCCCTATGAGCTTCAACATGAAATCTTTGACATCGAATCCGTTCTAATTGCGCAAGCTAGCTGGCGAGAAATCTCAGTCAGGCACATCGTGTCAATGGATTGTACAATGTGTATATGATGTGATCTCGTCTCATGAAGACACACTCCATCAATTCAATAGACTTGAACCATCTGCTGTGACCAGAAGCCTTCAACCCCAAGTTCTATCCTCTGTAAGAAATCAAGTGATGAAGATGAATATTATTCTCCTCCGTAGCAATAAGGAGAGTGAATGATACACCGATGAGTTCCCTTCCTCCCTCCTTGCCTCTGGCTGCGCACGCAGCAGAACAGACTGTCGAGACTCTATATAGATGTTTCCTAGCAGGAACGGCAATCCGAGAGAAAGAAGGGATCCTGTACGCGCGAACTCCTGCTCGGATGGTCTACCGCCGGGGGGCTCCTCTGGGACCGATGCGACGGGTAAAACGACTTCAGAGAACATCTTAGTAGAAATCATCCGCTAGAACAGCGGCGACTACGACGAACATCGGATTGATGTGAGCATCGTGAGCGAACAACTTGTGAGAGCTTCGATCACATTGAAGATTGTAATTCGAATCTCATGAAGGCAATGCTGGAGCGTCCGATTTGCGGAATCAAGTCGAGATTGGGCTTTCTCCGATCCGCTGCATAGCTCCAATCGGCTCCCAGACTCCCAGATTCGCGAAGAACCAGGTCATAGCGGGATTAATAATCTCAGGATGGTAGCGACTGTCGGACGGAGGCTCTCAAATGATTCGCTCCTCGAGTCTGGCTCGACAGAAACGAATTATGCGTCCTGACACTTCTCCCAGGGTAAAGTATCTGCAAAATCGAGATCGAGCTGATCGACACCCGGTACACCCATTGGAGGTCCAGGTCTCCTTCTCGATATAGGATTGGAAGAGCCCAAGCGTTCCTCGGAAAGCTTGCGACCACGGACCTTATGGAGCTGCTCATCCGTCGTGGCTCGCGCCGCAGTCTGCGACTGAAAAATCACGAGGAGAAAATTTCAGGACCCGCTCTCGCGTACATTCGTCATAGGAGATCAACAACGAAGCAAGGAAAAGAAAATATTTTCATTCGACTATGGACTATGGGCAGAACATGATTGCATCGAATATTCGATCCAATTTTTTTTCAATCGACCGTTCCCTATTTACAATTATTTGCTAAACGAAAATCATGATATCCTATCCAAGGAGAGTTCGACGCTGAGTGAGACACGCTTGCACGCCGATCCGCTCTCGCATGCACACCCGAGCCACATTCTCATACTCTAACATTCTTGTTCACACGAATCCGTTGCCAGAATTCTCGGCAGGAACTTCACAAAGCTATACACGAGTAGATCTCTCTTCGGAGGTCTCTGGATAATCTACGCGGCAAATAAACGCCCTCCCTAATATCCACATCGGATCATCAGACTACACGCGAGGTGGATATCCCTCCCCTCAGATATTCCATCTGCTCCAGCCATCATTTTATAACGCAGCGATCGGCTTCAAAAATATACTTCGGCGCGAGTTTAGAAGGGTCACTAATGTGGACTCCCTTGACTGGGCTCATGAATCGCAGAGTTGGTGACCATTGAGTAGTACCGGTGGTGAAGTATTGTTGCTGATGAAGGAAGCAACAATCAAGTCGCTCGACATTCCTCTAGCCATGTGCGTAAGTGTTCGTCCACAAATGTTATTAAGCATTCCTCTTTGCAGACTGAAGCTCCTCCCTAGAAGCATCATTTGAAATCAGGGAACTTTCTCGAACATGACTTATCGTGCACAAAGGATATTTTGAAGCGCCGCCGAGATCGATGGCATGATCATATCGTTGGTTTCCGGGTTCGAGATGGACGAAAAAACAGGACTTCGCTCAGTAACAATCGCATTGATTCTCGAAAATCCGCGGGGAAGCACCGCGCTCCCTCCGGAAGCGGGCGTTTTCTCCGCACCGGGCGGATACCATACACTTGCTAGGGATCAGCCACAAAGTTCTACGATTCAAGTTCATTAGATCGAGGAACTTCCTTGAGATGCCTACGATCCCATTTCTGATCAACGCCTCCGATGCGAATAATTCTTCCTCATTCATTCGTGATTGAGTCTCACACTGCCCGACTGAGCCATCGCGGATGCAGACGGAGCGCCTACGGCTCGGAGGGCTCAGTCACATTCATCTTCTTGATAGGCTGGTCGACTTTGTGACGGACCGGACACAGAGGTACTCGGAGTCGGACGTCGTTGCGCTGATGAACCGCTGCTGCTGCCGCTACTACTGGAGCTGCTCCCGCCCTGATCCAATTGGAGACGGCATATGGGACAGGTGGCATGAAGCTCTAACCAAGGAACGATGCAAGGAGTGTGGAAATGATGGCCACACACAAGACGTCGCGTGACCTCATCCTTCACGAAGTCCTCCATGCACACTGAGCATTGCATGTTCGCCGCCACCTTGAGCATTGAAGGAAAAGAGAGGCGTGAGATCAGCTGTACCGCGAGCTAGCATTCTCATTCCGATCTCCATCGATGACAATTCACCCGACGCGGTCAATCGACTCACCTGCTCGGGCGAAATTTTCACCTCAGGAATGGCTTGTATTTGATCTTTTGCCAATGGTGCTTGACCTGTGCCTTCGAGTTGATTAAGTAAATGAGTAATTACGGCGTCTAAGCCCCCGCGACCCCACGCGTAGTCTCCCGGGTTTCCGTGTACTTGCATCAGCCTGAATGGAAGGAAAACCCGTCATCGTTTTCTGGCATCGATATAGTTCTGCCTCTTACGAGAGCTCAGATCCGGGAGCTTTCGGATCGCTATGATTGGGGGGGGCTGATTTGCTCGGGGCCAGAACGACACTCACAGAGGACCTGCTTGAAGATTGTAGTTGCCCAAGTTCAGGCCGTTGTCGATGATACCGGAAAAAAGCTGATTGATCAGGAATCCCGGCGTTGGTGAACGTCTAGAAATCGATGGCAGAGTTCCGAGATGCTGTTATCTGTTTCGAATTTTTTTGGTCGAAACCACTCCTTCCTACTTACCCGAGTGTATGGGTTACGAGATCCGACCAAGAATCTTGGTCCGCATTCGCCTGTTGTTCTGTCTCCTCGAGCTCTTCGATAAAACCACCTTGACACCGAGGGCAAGTGAGATCCTGGAACATCGCAATCATGCCTGAACTCGAGCATGAACTTTTCCATGCATTCTTCAATCGGCGGCATGTTCGTGATCGATGCTCAATTTCTCAGCTACAAGATCTCAGTTGTTCGAAGCGTGCACCGACGTGTTCCCAACAAGCGCCCGGGATATTTAATTCTTCGTCTCCGGTCCCCTCTCGAATTACTATTCAAAGTTATTGTTCCACACAATGCTCTGTCGAGCGATGTTAACTCTATTCTTCGCCCCGTGGAGAGATGAAGGGAAAGTTGATCGCGAGAGTCCTGATGCTTTCGGTATTTTTCCTGCTTAGGCTACGCAGTCGGCAGCAACCTACGGAGACTTGCTCCTATGACCACTCGGTACGATGGGGGAATGTGTTTTAATGGGGCACCTCCAGAAGCCTCATACAGCTATGCAGCTTGAACTCTTCGGGTCGATCAGAGCAGCTGAAGCCTCCCCGCTGAGCATCGATTCTACGCCGTGTCGCAATTACGTACCGGGCGTTCAGGTTCAACCTCTACGTTACACTTATGACAGAAGAAGCGAGGCGAGCTCCGGTTTCTGAGATCACCCGATGCCTCCGCCATCTCCACACCGCAGCGAGCAAAACACTTGCCGCACAGCGTACTCTCCCGACAAATTTGTGTGGATTCCCACTCCACTGCTCAGCCTAATGAGAAAAGACAAGCAACACAACAAACTCCCCGTTTTAAGCAACGTTTGCCTCCGGCACTTGTGGCGCCATCTTTCAAACTCGCGAGCTATTCGAACCTCGAGCCGGACGGTATCCTCAAGGCATGCACCCAAAGACGGCCGAGCAGATACAGGACCCGGAGTCGAGCCGCGGGTGTCGCGTTTTTATCCCGTGAGTTCGTTCCCCTGTCGCCTCCCCTGCATATTCATTCCTGATTCTTCTGTCTTCGCTCCTGGCCGCATTCACCCAGCTATGAGCGAGGCTCGGAGCCCGAGCCGAGATCAAGTGCCTATGTGAGATCTCGGTGAGCCGTGTCAAGCTCCGCTGACTGATGTCGCTCTTCGCTTCCATATGAACTGACTGAAATGGCTGGCTGAGAAAGTGCTGTCCGAGTTGTGCGTTTGTTCCGATCCTTAAGTGGCTGAATGCGTTTAAGCGGGGCTCGGATCAGCTGGTGCGGTTTACACTCGGGCAAACGACGAAGTTAGTGGTGAGAAACTCAACGCGACGACAGCTGTGTTTCATTGAGAAGCCCTAACGTGTGCGTGCGTCTTCGTGGAACCGGGAAATATGTAATGGATTGAATCATCCGAGTGAGTAATTCAGAGGTCGGTTGAACTTTTGTGAGCGACCCGCGGGTGCGAGCGAAGGACGTTTGTTATTGATTGGGGCGGGAGATCGAAGCATGTACGCGGGTCTGGACGGTGGACGGCGCGGAGTTCGTTTCCGCATCCGGAATACCCACCCTGTTTGCGGAGATCACTGGCCCATGGATGAATGTTGGGAACGAGTCGACTTTCTGTATTGAGTGTTTGCTCACCCAGACCATAGACCGATGCGAGGAGCATGGAGTAGCGAAATCTCGTGCGTTTGGCCTCCATTGTCAACTCTCATGCGGTCTCCGCTGGCTCGCCTCAGGAATCGTCGTTCGTGTAGAGTGTAGGGAAATCATCCGATTCTCCGCGCGAGCCCCATCATTAGTGCTCCATCCGAGGGTTTTCCTCCACGGGCATGATTCGAGTCCCGAGTTTCGTTCGGAGGAAATCTTCGTGCAAGGCTCTAGTGCAATCCGATCCGCGACAATTATCCGGTAGAATACAAGAGGATCACGTCTTGGCACGAATTAACTGAGTTGCGGGCTCCGCGAGGAGGTCGCTGAACTTCAAATCTCTCTCATCCACAGAGATAACTCAGAAGCCATGGAAAGAGTTGAAGTCCGACTCAACTTGGAGGTTCCTCGCAATTCGTGTCTGTATGAGGTTCGGCAGTTGATAGCTTCAAGATTCGACAACATCCACTGGCTGGATCTTTGTGAGGTGAGTAAGCTGGTGTCCCTGTTGCTTCTTGCCGGATGAAAGAGCTTCACGTCGATTCCCACTGAAGGACTAAGAGGCTAACTTGCTCCTCCGTCGAATTCGTAGGACGATCATCGCGTTTGTGATGACAAAAGACCTCTCATAGCGTCGATACCCAGCGTGACATCCGAATTGGGATGCGAATTCGTGGCCGACGAAACCTACCCAGACTGGTGCATCGCCGAACCCGGCACAGATATCGAGAAAAGCTGGAAAGTACGGAACAATGGTAAGTCGATGCATCGTCCCTCGATCGATGATGAGCCCAGTAGTTTCCGAGGCAGTCGTCGATCGTCAGCCTCACTGAATGAATTTTTCGACCAGGATGTCGGAGATGGCCCGAGGGAACTCGTTTGCGTCAGTGCTGGGGAGATCTCAGCAAGGTAAGTTCAATCAGCCGATAATCTCCCACGACGAAGGAGACCCGAATCCTCTGACACCAACGAATGACTCGAGCTTCTCGAGGCTCCATCATTCCAATTGATCTCCAGGCTCAAACGGCGTCTGTACCGGCGCTTGACGTGGACGAGGAAGGCGACGTGAGAGTGCCAATTTCTCTCCCAACTCACAACGGAGTTTTCCAAGCTCACTTCAGGTAATTGGTCACTCCTGAGGCTTTACGACACCCGGTTCCCCTCGTCGTTCGGAAGTCTGCGAAGTCTGATTTTTTTTCTCTCCTTAGGTTGTATCATCCAGACTTCGGATATTTCGGGCATAAACTTTGGTGCAATCTGATTCTTCGGGAAGAAAGCTCCGTTCAGGTAAACTACGGTCTCGGCACTTTCTTGAATCTGGGGGTCGTACTGTATCGCCTCTAGGACTTTCTCGAGAGCCGGCCTCTCTCGGAGGGTGGAGGCATGCCAGTGCTTGATCTGGGAACAGAGGGGAGTTCCTCCTTCTTGTTCGGCATACTATATCTTGTCCTTATCGAGCCAGAGGAATCTTCTAAAACACGCATATATAGCTGAGATCCGGAACAGGAATTCTGTAAGGCACACACGCAAAGGCTCGGCTCACGTGGTCAACTTCGCGACTCAAACCCCTCTGGTTATACATACATATTTAATTAAATCTATTGATCGAAATTCGCATCGCTGCCTCCAGGATGTCTCGAGTGACGTGAGTTCAATTCGTCTCCCCTAGTTAGCACAGAATGTTGCGCGGCTGCCAGCGACAGTCCTAAGGAAATTCTTCTCCTTTGAAGATATTGGATGATTTGGACGTGGAACTCCCTCCTTGCTTCGATATCGACTACAACGAGGACCTCCTTCGGAGGCAGGTTCAGAGCTCTCCGACGGCTTTCCGGCACAAGCCGCGTCAAGAGCAATACAGGTAATTTTTATTCATCAGGCCCTTCTTGGAAGTACAAGATCAGACATGACAGGTGCACTCTGATGATCCTCAGACTCGAAGCCGAAGCTCTTCCCGAAGCATTCATAACTGGCGCCTTGAGTGCGTGTTCTTCAATATACAATGTGGCCAAGGCCCTAATTGAACCTCGATCTCACGACGAGAGGTCGTCTGCGAATCGCCCAAAGCGCTGAGGTGAGCGATCCATTTACAAGATTCGCTAATCGGACCATTTGCAGCCTGATCGAAAATCTGATCAGGTGTGTAGTCAGAGAGTCAGGAGCTCCAATTTTTCGCAGGCGTCGCACAAAACTTCACCCTTCATGCTGCGGACGATCGACCTCGGCGTCTCATTGATTTAAGCTGTGTAAAGTCATTCATGTAAAGCAAACAGCAGGATAAATGCTTTTACAAGGAGGTCTCCGGCTCTTTCGGTCTCTTATGCTAGTCCCCCTGAATTTTGATGGCCATTGCCAGTCTGCAGTCATCTACAATCTACAGGCTAATCGCGCACCAGCGAGTCCAGCCCTACTGACATGAGATCAGCCCCGGGGTCTTGGACGCCTTACTAACTCAAAACTATGAACTCATGGATGATGTGCGCGATCACTTTTCAGTTTTTATTGTTCCTTCGAAGCTGTCTTCCGTGAGATAGCTGATTCGGAATGACCGGGCACCGTACACTGTACGGCATTTTCCTCTAATGAGCACTGCGCATAAGGTTCGCGCCTCTCAATGAGAATATTTCACAAGCTGCCCCTTCCGGATGTCATCAAAAGTACACAAATTAGTTAAGCTCACGCACTGACTGAGACAGCTAACTGAGATGAAAATATGCAATACAGTATGTACATGGAGATAAGCAGGTAACAGACTGAAAATGGAGGAGCTGCACTCTAAGAATATATGATGTACGAGTCATTCCTGTGTGGGTAGAGTTCCAACGGAGCTCAGCAGGTGTGGATGCAGTGGACACCGATGGCTGTACAAGTGCATACTTTGCACCGTTCCGTGAGCTCGGTCACAACTTCGTTGACTCGGTAGTACTTTCCGTAAATGTTGCAGCCTGCATTAGAGGGAGTGTTACTTGATTCGCGCTTCCCTACAGCACGTGCTGCATCCGTCTCCCGAAATCCGATCTGGTTCCTGACGAAACGTACCTGAAACCTTGAGGAGATTCCACACGGAGCTGCTCGCGGATTGCGACTGATTCTCGGTGACGAAATCGTGAAGGACGGGAGAGTGTTTGGCGGCGGAAAGCGTGCCGAATCGAACATTATCTGGAATTCCATCCAAGATTACAGGGGAATGCCTCTCTGGATGGGGTGGATGAAAATTCAAGCTCCGATGTCGTGGGAGAAGACCTACTCTCTCGCGTTGCGCTGTGCTTGTCGGACATGTCCTTGAATAGCGAGCGCGCGAAAGGAGACTCGGTACCCGAGAGAGCTTTAGCTTCCGTCGGTGGGCTCATGGTGACCGTACTTGTCGGAAGAGTGTCTGAGAATTGGATACGGTCAGCTTTAAAAGTATCAGTCTCGGCAATTTTCTTCACAATCCTGCGAAACTTGGTGTGCTACGGATACATCCTCATTCTTTCATCATCTGGCACAGCACATACTTGCGGCATGCTGAAGTAGGACTTTGAGTGTCGCCGTTGGAATCGTCGTGAAATCAGAATCCGATCTGCTGTGGAAGATGGAACGATGTTGAAGTCGCTACCTACATCCGACTTTCTAGGTACTCACGCGGATATCCCGAGTTTCCTTACCTTTCCGCTTGGGTTTCCGACCTTTGCGGTTCCTGAAAATTCGAAATTATTAAAAAGTCTCTTCCTCGGGAGCTTCGGGGCGCCGGCCAGGTACCACGGGCATACCAATCAGAACTACGAACCTGCGTGACTACCGGGTAAGCGGTGCGGTGTTTGTCTGCCTCGTGATCGAGAAGTTTCTTGCCCGAGACCGGCGATCGACGGAACCCCTGCAAGCCGGAACAGTGTACGTCACTAAGATTCACCGCCTAGCCAGCCAGCTGCCCGTCCAGGGCTAGGCGACGATCCCTAATAATACAGACCCGATGGATATCAAGGTAAGTCTGAGCGGCAAGAGCGTCCTCTTTGAAGCATTGGAATTCCGCGGCTCGCAGCGGATCCGGAGAGCCCACTGCAGGAACACCCTGCTCTCGAAGCCTCCTTGAGGAGTTTCATATGGAGGTTTCCCTCCCGCATGAGCGACGGAAATCGCTCACCCGGCCCGAAGCGAGCAGAAAAGCTTACCTCGAGGGCAATATACTCCTGCCTGGAATTCGGACGATCGACGGTGCGCCCTCCGATTTGAGGATTTTGAGATGCAATCATGATGTCGATATGAGGCACGTATTTTGGGTGATTCGGTTGGTGGAAACCATCGTCTACGATCCTTCTATGTATATCCCGAGCCGGCGCTCTCACGGAGTCGAGTTCTTGGAAGGAAACTCTTCGTTGTATGAGAGGAGTTTGCGCGAGGTGTGCGGGAAAATCTCCAAAATATTTTCTCTTGGCAAATCTCGACATGCTTACTGCACGTGAATCGAGGGCAGCAGGCTCCGTCCGGTCTCTCTTGCGTGCAATCGTCGCTAGGAGGAGCTGGACACGTCCTGATGGTGCACAGTTCTTCTCCACCATAGCAGCGACAGAGCATGCACGGATCCTCCTTGGGAATGAGTTCACCGTCAGCGACGGTGACGCCGTTGATGAAGCAGCCCGAGCCTGACGATTTCTTGCTATTTTAATCTCGCGCCTATTTTTCCGTTATACGGCAACGGACGATGCCTCTTCTCGCAGCAAGCCAGCTTAAATTACACCGCAGACGATCACGCTCATACATATATTATTCAACACTCCATCAGAAAACTTGCCTTTGGACGGAATAGACTGGTTCGCAGCCACGTAATGACCGTGGGGTAGGAAAAGAGCGTCGTTTGCTCCGAAAGACACAACGCTGTGTTGGGAGTTTGCTGATTTGTTCGAGATTTTTTGGCCTGAAACCGAATCTCGGAAAGTTATTCTCCACGAGCGTGCGACGATCAATCCGCGGACGAAATGAGTCAATTACTGAATTGAGAGAATCGAGAGGAAATTATCGCGAGGTCATATATAGCGAACCATTCCAAACTGACCATTGTGGTGATTGTCGAGTGTTTGCCAACCGAGAGGTGTCCTGCTGCTATGCGGCGAATCGAAAGTTTTTTGTTGACTGCCGAGGCCCTCCCTCGCGGGGTATGGGAGCGGCACGTTCGTTGTGAAAAATTGGGACGATGCAACTGACGGGTTCGCGGTAGATCGGGCGCTACTCGAAAGATCCGCTCTTGTCGTCAGAATCGGTGCGGGCCTCGAATATTGGCTTGTGGCGGGGAAGTTTTCGGTGACGCTCTCGTAGTGGAGACTGGGGGGGCTCGATGGGCTCACGGTGGATTGATCCGATCGACCTTTGGCGAGACCGCTCAGAAGCAGAGTGGAAAATATTTTGATGCCCTCAGCGAAGTCGATGTTCCCTCCAGCTCGCTGAGAGCTGAATGACTTTTTCGGCTTTTCGTTGCTCGCTCCGGGCTGCGCTGTATTTTTTCTCGAATCGAATGCGGAGCTTGTCGTCGGTAACACCGACGCTGTCGTTGGTGTCGACGGCGTGGATGAGGTTGCCGATGTGCCTGCTGCACTCGTTGCCGTCCTATAAATACTCTGGCTTGGAACAGATGACTGAACAGTGGGTTCCACGTCGGTTTTCCGAAGTCCAAAGTCCGTCGAGAATTCGGTTTCCGCTGGGGATGTGCGGCGCGACGGGTGGAACTTGACTTCATTGTTTATAACATCCGATGTCGTAATGATGTACGATGGAGCTGATGAGGTCGCGGGCTCCTTCGATTCTTTCGTAGGTTCGTCAGTCCGCAGGAGACTCGATGGCGTCGATATGATAAGGCCGGGAATAGTGGTAATATCGTCGCCTTGTTTTCGCGTGAGCTTCAGCGACGACTCGGTCTGAGTCATATGATCTTGTTTCTCCTGCAGCGTGAAAATATGAGGAGTGGGCCGCGGCAGCTCAGTCGTCGACGTTGCGGCTGCCGGAGCCGCCGATTTCGTCGACGGTTGTTGCTGCGGCGTCGCAGGTGGCGGGGGGCGCTGCCAAAACGGATTGTCTGACTCCGTAAACTGGTTGAATTCGGAATTTTTCGCGGTCGTTATACCGTCCTCGGTCGTGACCTCGGCAGAATCGTAGGCTACGGTTATGTGCGACCCGAGATTGACTGTGAACGTCGACTTCTTCTTGTTGTTATTCGAATACTTGGACAATTTAGTGTCGGTGTCGGGGAAAGCGGCATAGGTTGAAACCGTCGTTGAAGTCATCGGGATCGGCTCCGAAACGTCTAGCGAATCGTCCGAGGCTGAAGCCTCTATATGCTCCATTGATGCGGTAGCTCGATCGTTCTCCTTGGGTGAGCTTCCCGCGTGATCAAGCTTTTCAACCTGTTCTTCAGGAACGTAGACCGGCTGCAAGTAGTTCTGCCACGATTCGAATGTACTGCTAGGCCTTCCTGCTGATTCCGCTTGGATGGCTCCCGACTTCCCCCCTTGATAGCTATCGCCGATGGGCCCAGGTCCGGCGCGGGTCAAGGCGCTCGTCGTCATCTCGTCACGCGAAATCGTTGCACGGGTCGCTGCGGGCTCCATCGTAGACCCGAGGACAATCTCGGGAGCGTAGAGTAGCTTGGCAGTCTCTGCTCACGGAATTCTCAGTTACACAGAGCAAGGTACAAGCAGAAGCTCCGAATGATCCGCAGAAGGACGAGGCTACTCACCCTCGTCGGTCATGTTGGCTCCATCGGTGTCGACAATTACCTGCAAGTTACATCGGAGTGAGGATCTAGCCAGTGGGTCCAAGCGACGTGTTCGATCACGTTCATTGGGTTGCGCCGAATTTCATGATAAGGAATGTCGCGCTAGGGCTGGATGCCCGTGAAGAGGTTCGAGTACCCGGCGGCCATCGGGTTTCTACCGCGCGTGCGGAGGTCGCGCCCGATCGGCGAGTGATGGCTAAGGGGTAGGGAAAGTTTCAGGAAAGTTCCCCCTAGAGATGGTGTTCACGGAGGGATCTCGCGCGTTCCGATGAATAGAGAATTTTCGGAACAACCCAATGAACGACGCCATCGACTAACCGATCAAGCGTTATTAGGCATCGAAGGAGAAAGACTCTAGCAGAATATTTCCGGTAATCTGCTCTGATCGATGGTCGTTTATTGGCCGCACCTTATTGGAAGCTAGTTTCCATTGTTTTATTGAGGGGAGCTCGGTTGACGGTTTTTTCTGCAGTCGCACCTCGTTCGGAAGGAATCTGATTCTTTCCTAGAGACGGCAATTTATTCATGTTCTTAGCTAGAGGATCGCTCCAGAACCGCTAAATCGCTTCTGCACAGTCTCGTTGCTGATGAGTGAGAGTGCACAACAAGCGATCGGTTCTGCGGGAAATCGATTCGGAGTGAATATTTTCTCTCTGGAGGCGACGTCATCAGGTCCTAGCCCGGCAGCGAATATTTCCCGGATCAGATACGCTCTGATCATCGTTAGCGGCGAAAACATTTCTGAAAAACCGAGCGTGCCCTCCTGACTTCACTGACCTGCTTTTCGAGGGTCGGTGTCTTGTCACTTGGAATCGGTTCGGGACGCATGTCGCGCGATTCATCTCCTTTTGTCGGAAGTAGATCTGCAATGGCTCCAGGAGCGGACGTTGTGGTGGTCAAATAAGCCTCATAAGAATCTCCATCGATTCTCCTGAAGAGATGCGTCTCCCGAATGGAGCCCGGTCGAGGGTCGGGAATAATCTTCAATTGCTCGGTCTCGTTCTTCATGTTCCTAATCTTGTCTGTAACACGATTTTACGAAATTCTCAAAGCTCGGCAACGGAACGGTCTGGAGGATGTGGAGGTCGTACAGCATATCGAGCCGTCAACAAAAGAAGCGGTGTGTTCGGCTAACCGCAGACGTATTCCGTGGGGCAGCAGTGTCCTTCGGGAATGATACCCGTGCAGCCTACGGCTGCCAACGGGCACTCGACATTTGTGCAATTTATTCCGTCCTGAGTGCATACACATGTCTTGCACGCTTCCGATGGTAAGACGGAGCCCAGCGCGTAGGACTGGCCGTCGTGGACACAGGCTGTTTTGAATGAATCGGACTTCAGTACGCTCGAGTTTTAATCGCGTCCCCCGAGAGCTCTCCCCATGGTACTCAATCCGAAGATGATGCAGAATTCTTCGGATGGGCTCCAGAAAACATTGGTCGCAGGGTGAAAATTGAATGAGAGGAGGATCGGCGACCGATGACTCTCCCCTGGAACTCACCCATAGGAGTCCTAGCTGTCGTTGTTGTTGTCGTCGCCATCGCCGATCCCGAAGCTGGAAAGCGACGGAACTGTTGCTCATGCTGCGATTGGGGACAGAACAAGTTCACTCTGCTTATATCTAGAGTTGGATTGGTCGCTAGACTGAGGCGAGATCAAGGGGAATTCCACTCGGAGGAGCTCATAACCCGCTGGTTACGTACGCTTGCAAACATAGTTTGTGGGGCAACAGTCAAAAGGAGATCCATATTGTGGCGTGCAGCCGGGCATAGCAAGAGCGCAACTCGGTCGCACACATCGCTTCCGCCCTCGCAGACAGTAGCAATACTCGCATTGAACCCGTGATATCATCGCGGAACCCTCCATGAACCATGCATCCTCGGAGAAACAAGCTGTAACGACATGCGAAGCCATGCGGTGAATGGAATGATAGGCAGAAATTATATACGTCGCCCTTCCTCGTGAAGTTCGCAATCATGCACGAGGCGCATCATTCGCCCTCTGATCGAATGTTTTGCATGCAAGTGATCCCGATCTGCGGTGCCTTCGACACGATCTCTTCAGCCATGATTACTGCGTCTCGTCGTCCGGTGAAAACTGCTCTATCAGGAGCGGCACAAGCTCATTCCTCACACGAAGCTAAGCGGAGCGACAGCGTCCCCCAGCGTGTGTTCCAGGTTTTCGACCGACATACCAGCGAACAACACACGGTCTGGCATCAATCGGAACTTCGACGCGCGCATAAGGTCAAACTTATCGTCATGGCCTATCCATCGAAGGATGTCGTTTAATTCATCCGGCTGGTCTCGTCAGACGACAGAGAATTTCGATCATCTCGCGCTGCAGTGATTCATCGATTACGGATTGTAAATGACAATTTTAGTTAGTCCGGCCGATAGAAAGAATCGCGAGAGTTAAGGTTCTCTCCTCGATCGAAGTTGCATGCTATTATTTCAGCTCCCGCGGGGCGCCGGAGATGGCTTCGTGGGCGCTCGTTGCCGGCGAGAAGAGCAAGAGTCGAAGTCGGAAATCATCTATTCGGGTCCTGCTCCCAATGGGAACGAATGCTCGACAAATTCCTTCGGTGACGAGGCTGAGCGTCAGGAATGTCGCCACACGCGAACCTTGAGCTCCGCATATTCATGCGAGGCGCACAACGGTGTCTATTAACAATCGAGAAAGTTCTTGTAGTTACTTCACATACCTTTGGCGAGCAGGCCATCACTCACAGCTACCGACTGAGCCGGTTCAGAAGACGCCAGCTTCGGAGATGATGTCACCACTATTGGACTATCCAAGCGACGGCCAGGTAGGCCTTCGTCTGGGACCTGAGAGTCGGAGTTTGGGGCTTAGGCCAGAATGTTATGCACGTCTTCTTGCCAAATCTTAGTCCCAACAGGGAAGGCTTCAAGATGTGAGAAATCTCATTGGACAGTCGGGACTAGCTAAAAAACGGTTTCAAGCTATCCGTGGACCGGTTTGAGTTCGCCGATGCTGAGTCGAGGGCAACAGGAAAGAACCAATCGGTAGTACATATATGATAGAGCTTGCAGACGACTGCACGAGGGAGGGAATCCGAAACTCGGAGTCGAATTGATTTCGCTTAGACCTCTGACCCTTTTTTTTGCAACCAGAGCGGACGATCGAATTTTCGACTGTCAATTGTCTCGACGAACCCTCGTGCGCGCAAAGAATGCCCTATTCCCCGCTATCTGAGTGCCAGGAAGTGATTTCGGAATACGTGGTATACCACGAACGCGGCATACATTGATGAAAAAGCGCGAAAGGCTCCCGGAGAGATACCTAGTGTTAAGAAATTCAGGATCTCCCGTCCTAATCTGCCTTCGCGTGAGTCGCAAGTTCCGTAGACTCGCGCCATAAAGTCATAAATTCAAACTCTGAAGTCGTTCGACTTACTAGCGTTACGGCGTGCTCGTCAAGGAGGAAGTCCGTTCTTTTCCTTTGTGCAATACGTTGAATCAGCGGATTCGTGGATGTCTTTTCAGGAGCAGTTGAGTCGCGTGACAGACCAAAAGGAGCTTTCGTTGCACCGGTCTCCTCGTCTTTGCTCCCGTTCGTTGTGTCCAACGAGTTGACCTCGTTCGAAGTCTCACCGTTTGATGCTATTATGAGAGAGCAGAGAATGAGCTATGAATACCCGGCTCCGCGGTCTGGGAGCTCGGCGATCGGGCTGCCTTGCCGGCAGCAATAGTAGTCGTATAGAATTGAGTAATGAGAGACACGACGCATACCATTATTACAAACTGTTGTTGCACAGCACTGACCGGACTCTCGAGCTGTGAAGCAACCTTCGGGAACGGAGATGATCGCTGGGCAAACCTACGAAAAGAGAGACCTCTTGAGTCACTCGACGGCGGCTCCACATCTGTGCCGGGCAGGTGCATGGCAGTATTGGTAAGGAGTTCTCGGATACTCACTCGCAAATAGCACACCAGGACACCGGCTCGACACGTGCAATTGAGGCAAGGTTCCGGTGTTTTCACAGGACTGCCGTGTTCGTATCGACGTCCAGAGTACTGACAGCCTGTAACGAATTCCGAAGCTCCGAGGAATGTCCCCATAGACTCTCTCGGATACTCGTAAAATATTGTGGATCTCTGAGGGGAGAGCATCGTGGGGAGCGAGGAGTCAGAAGACTGCGGAGTCGACTCACTTGGCGGTCTCCTGGTTGCATTCGGCGACTTAGTCGGGGCGGACGGCTTCTGAGAAAGATAACGAAAAATTAACAAGTCGATCAATCCCAAGCGGAATCGGAGGCTCGAGTCTCTTACGAAACCCCCGTATCAGTGAGCTTCGATGCATCGGGCCCTGAGAAATATTCAATTCGACGCAACATGGACACTGGGAGCTGCGCCGGTGATACGCAATTCGTAACACACTCATGTCCTCGTTCTCGGGCAGGACTTCCATTCAGTTCGACGCCAGGATGGGGTCAAGGCGGAGCTATGCACCGCCCCGTTCGGGAGACCCATGAGCCCGAGAGTATTGTAGGGATTCCGACATCTCTCACCTTTGTAGGAGGCGATGAGTCGATTACTGGTTTCACCGAGGATTCGGAAACTGCGGGCTCCTCGGATGGTTTCTTGTTTTCCATGTGTCGCTCGTACTCTTGGGAGATTTGGGGTCTTTCGTTCCACCATTGACCTTGACGGACTGAGGCAGAGAAAAAGCCTTGCGTTATCATGATCCTAGACAATCGACTAATCGATCGATCCCATCAACAGCGCAGATGATCTTAGTCGATGAACTGGACGACCGTTGAATTATCGGGATAGATCACGGCATCTGGAGAAGGAGGAGGCCAATACATGGCGGCTGCGACGTGGAAATGCATGCCTCCAAATTAACTCACAGTCTGGAATGTCGTCGAATCGGTAGCGCCGTCTGACCCCCTCGACATGAGGCAGCTGCGGTCGACCGTTGGGCTCATGCGCGTCTGGAACATCCGAGGACAACGTTTGAGGGACCGATAACTCGCCTCAATCTCGGTAGCAGTGCATGGTTTAATGGATAGATCTGATCACTCACGAGAGTTCTTGATGTAGATTATCTGAGGTCTTTGGAAATCATCCCGGTTTCCCGTGAAAACCGGCTCTGGTCGCAGCTGCATCCTCGCAGGGGCTTCTTTGAGAGAGCCAGGCTCTGGTCTGGAAGTCAAGATTAGGAGAGGACATTCGCTGGACTGACACACAACGATGCCGGCTAAATTTCCGATCCGAGGTCGTCGGTGTCATCCCGCGGTCGGCCTTGTCCCATCCATTCAGGACGATTCGAGGCAGCGGATTCTTTTCTCAAACGAGGAGATCGTGGGAATTCCGAGAGATTCTCTGCCCCAAGAGCTGGTGCAGGTAGAGTCTTCTCAATCCTCAGAGCGGGAAAGTTTTCGACACTGAACGTTCATCGATCGAAGCAATTGGTACCGGAGTACTGAGATTTAGGTCGTAAGAGCGGTAGATGGTAAATTTATTCCTCCGTTCGAGGAATGAGGCTCTCCTGGCTGAATTAGTTCGAAAATGACAGAGTTTTCCCATTTTGTTATGCGCGTGATCTGCACCATCCAACGCTACGTACCAAAAAAAATTCATAAATCAGATTAAACGTCGCTGGAACACGCCATACGCTGGGCTCACCGTGAACAATCCGGGACCGGCACATATTGCGGAAGCTCTCATTGCTTTAATTCTTATCCTCTTAAGCTCTCCCCGCCGGACTCGAGCACAAGACGCAGTGGCGTTTTGTCCCTCACCAAATGCGTGATGTGAACCACAGACCGGGTCTTCCCACAAAAACGCAAAAACGAGCAAAAGGACCCCGATGTCGAGACAGATTATTCAGGAACGGAATCACACCTTAGTCGACCGAATACTCTAGGGAGGACTCTTAAGGGTTTCTATTCAGTGGATGGAGAATACGAAACAGATCTGGAACTCCAATCGTCCTCATCTGTCGGGGAGTCGTTCCGAAAATCGTGAGAGCGCATTTCCGACGCATTCGAGGTGCAGGGAGCTGTTCGAGCTAACAGGATGCGCCGATCCAGGGCTCCGGAATCGTGGATGGAATTCATGTCTTGGCATAATGTTTGGGGAAGACCCGATCGACTCGCGGCCATGGCAAGGGCATACCGGCCTGTTCCTGAACTATCGGATATCGTTACTCCGGTATCCGATGCCCGCCAGATTCCCACGAGGTTCTTTATCTCAGCTATCGGTAGCGCTCCGAAACAGATTGCACAAAGCGTCGACTCGCTCGAACAACCGTTCCGAAGAGATTCCGAGTTCGCGAATTGAGTCAGGCCTTCCAAGTGTATTTCCCTCCGAGATGGGATCTCACTCGGTTCGCTCCTCATTCCTCCCTCGGCACCAGAGTACGAGCCCATCGGGAAACGCCGTGACGGGATCGGGAAACCGTTCCACAGAATCTCTCAATCGGTCATTTTAGGCACACGGTCACAATGGCTCCTGACTGACCGACGATTTCTCAACGTTCGAGGCGACCGAGGCAGCCCAAATGAGGATGCTTTTAGTTCTATTTGCGGTGCTGGTCTCAGACGAGTTATTCCCTTAGGTCGCTAAAGCGAGAGAATTTTTGTGGAGCTTCTGTTGGCGTGCCGCGCTTGATTACTCTCTCTCTCCAAAGTTTACCTGTCCACAAGTTGAGGGCGTTCTAGATGCGTCTGGGGCGGTGCTGGCGTCTTCTCGATGAATGGAACCTTCGCCGTATTGTGTAGCTGGTCGGTTGTTCGACTCAGTGGAACTGGAAAAGTTGAAAAATGTCATCGAAATTCGAGGGTATTGTCGCTCCGACAAAGACTAATGAGTAATGAGCCTCGCCGCGGCTGTATCCACCCTGATCACGAGCGCACTCAAGTTTCTATGAGAGCCCCGATAGGCTGAAGTAGGAGCCAGACAATGGCTTGTCGATGAGACACTTGTTCACTCTCAGACGAGCGCGCGCTCACACACCGTATTATACCGATGTAAAACGCCGTTGAAGACAATAGTAGTGAACTTATCAGCGCACCCAGACGCTGAGAAGGAAGGGTTCATTGACTTGCTCAAGTGGTTGATAAAAGCGCCTGTTCCGTTCGTCCACAAAAAGCGTCCACAAATCGCTTCGGCAGTTTTCTTGTCGCTAGTTGCCGTCGTGAGTATATCTCTCGAAGAAGACCGAGACACGCGAGAGCTCACAAGTCACGAGTCATCGAAAATAAGAACGAAGTACGTAAGACGTTCCCTGCGACCAGCGATAACTATCCGTCGCTTATCCTAGCCCAACATTCTCTTTGTTGTTGGGTGTCTCTGTTAGTTGTTTCCGAATTCTCGGAGTCGTGAACGACCAGAAAACGGTTCGACCCTCTGCCCGCCATCGGCAGGGAACGCCGGGGATGCGCATACTATGAACAGCATCCGGCGCATATGATGATCTGCCTCAGCACCCGTCAAGCCGCCGAATTTAGGTTTGAAGTTCGAATTTATCGATCGGGTAGACCCTTTCCTGGAAATGTCTGCCTTGGACGAGTCTTAAGAAATCGAGCGGCCGTTCCAAGCGTGGAGCCATACAAAGATCGGGAGGCCGACTCGGAGTAATGGGCAGGCCTGAATCTCGTCTCATGCGTCAACCGCAAGTCGCCCCGCTCTAGGAATGGGGGTACATAAGGTCGACACCAAATTCACCTCTGGACTTCTACGGGGTGAAGACCTTACGCTGAAAGATATCCACTGGCACAGAGTTCATTACCCCTTGCTCTCTGACGGAGTGGTGTCCACTTCCTGATCAGATTGCCTGATCGAGGAGACTGAAGCTGGAGCGATAGGCTCCACGTTGCCTTACAGGAGCCTATGGAAAGCGGTACGGAATGACTTCCGATACATAATTCGTCATGGATGTATCAAACGATAGCGAAGTATTTTGCGCGTAAGTTGGGGGATAGTCAACGCCATCCGCCGAGCGAAACTACTCAAGCTACGCATAAGCGAAGCTGCCTTCGCCGTAGGGTATCCGTCGGTATCGTGAAGCAACACTATCGATCGGCCTCGGAGGCTCGCGCTTGGCCTCACACGCTTAGGCGGGCGAATGAGCAGTTACCTCTCTGGCTAGGCTATTTGTATGCTTGCCTGCCAATGCAACAGACAGCCCCGCAAGAATTGGTGCGGTTGTGGAGTACTAAAGGGGAAAAAGCGAATGCTTTCTGGATGGGTGAGCGAAAGAGTGAGCAGAGCTCCGAAAGTCGGTGAAGGAGCATGAGCAGCAGCTCGGGGAATCCTCCGTGAACCGATAGGAATTCGACTCATGTAATCCCCCCATCCCCCGTCGGGAATGTGCTCGACTACAGCTCAATGATTCACCCCAACTCGAGTCGGGTGACCGGGACCGGATCTTCATTTCCATCCATACGGGTCTTCTCTAGCAGAAAACGCAGCCTTTTTTTCTGGATTTCTCGACTTGAGTGGTATTAGATTGCGGCCGCTCTCGCGTAAGCTTCGCCGGCCTGAGAAAGACGAGAAACTCCAGCGTGTCTTACCCTTCCATCTCAGGGCCTCTAGAATTTTCGCTCACCTGTTCAATCATAATTCCATTTACGCGATATATGACTCGAGTGGCCGCTTATCTTTGTGATCGAATGAGGAATATGGGAGAACGAATAGCGAACGTTGTCCTCATGCGCTTCACATAGCCGACCCCAATCCTCAACGGTTCTGTGAAGCGGTGAATTTCCCACGAACTTATATAACCGCCTGACGAGCAGATGAATGAATAACTCTTCTCCGAACTTTTTTTTGTGCGCGCTGGGAACACTGCAGCTCCTTCGGCGAGTGTGTAGTTTTCTCTTCCATCCAGGCGATCTTCGCGCGGTACGTCGATTGGAGCGACTGAGCGCGAGGAAGACTTTTCCCGTTCCTTCTTTTCTGGTACCAGATACAAAGCAAGCAAATTCCCGCGAGCCGCGATGAATCAACGGACAACTGAGTAAAGAAGTGAGTACTTATTCATCGAGCCCGAGTGTTAAGCGGAAGGTTCATGCTGATGTAAGTCGGCTCCCGGTACTTTTGCCTGCGAGAAGCTTTCAGAAAATCTCTCCCAGGCATCGAGAAGGCTCGCGCCTATTCCATAGATATGGTCAACATGAAATTCGGAACCCTTGTCTGAGCAAAGGCTGTTGTCGGCTTTGAGGCGCCGCGAAAGAAACCGTTGCGTCACGTGAGGCATCTTGTGCACATGATCAATCATGTGTGCGCTGCCGCACCTAGGTCTTAGCCCTGAGGGGAGATGTCGGCTCAGTGCGCCGCCAAGACTTGGGATTAGGTCCGCTCGTCGCTTCAAAGGCACAACATTCAAGCTATAATTCTAAGGAGGAATGGACCTTTCGAGGTCGCGAGGCTCTCAGCTGTCGGGAGAGAGCTTTTCACGGTCACTTCATCACGCGATCCCCCC